CATAGCTTTAACTCAATGACTTGTACAGCAGATCTTATTCGTCTTTTATTTAATGAAAAAAAATTTACTTGTGCTAAAACTAAAACCCGTGACCTAATAGTAAATATTTTAGCTCCTTTCGCAATGGAGAATACTATTGAAGGTTTAAAAAAAAGCTAATTATATTTCTGTGCTTGTTGATGCCTCAAATCATAAGTCCGTAAAATTAGTTCCTGTAATTGTTAGATACTTTAATCTAGAGAATGGGATTAAAAATGATATTTTGGACTTTTCGAACTTACCCGGAGAAACTGCCGAGTTAATTCACAATAAAATTGTAAGTGTTTTGAAAAAATTTGAACTCGAAGAAAAAATAATAAGCTTCTCTGGAGATAATGCTAACACAAACTTTGGCGGTATTGCTAGAAAAGGCAAAAATAATGTATTTTTAAAATAAAAAAATACATTAAAGCATAATATTTTGGGATTATGTTGCTGCGCACACGTAATACATAACAGTATTCAGTATGCTGCGGATAGTCTTCCTATTGATATTGAAATAATAGTTTGTAAAATATTTGGATATTTCCATATTTATACCGTACGTGTTTCAACATTAAAAGAATTCTGTTCGTTTGTTGATGTTCAGTATAAAGAAATATTATCACACTCCAAAACAAGATGGTTATCGTTATATCCAGCAATTGAAAGAATAATAGAAATGTTTAGTGCACTCAAATCGTATTTTTTATCTCAAAATAACTGTCCAAACATTTTGAAAACATTTTTTAAAAATGAAACTTCTATTTTATGGCTTAACTTCTTACAAAGTCAATTGAAAACTATAAATATATACATTAAAATAATTGAAAATCAAAAGCTTTGCGCGGTGGAACTTATACTAATTATGGAAAAATTAACTACAAAATTAAAAAATAAAAAAGATGATTTTTTTTTACCAAGTGATATCGAAGCATTACTTGTTCATCTAGAAGAAAGTGGTGAAATAATTAAATCAGAGTTTAAAGAAACGTGTACTAAATGTTATGACTTATGCATAAATTATATAACAGATTGGACTGCTTCAAATCAACATATACCAGAATTAAATTCATTAACATGGGTTTGTTTGTCCAATAAAGATGAAATAAATTGGTCCAACATAAAACCATCTATTTCTTTTCTAAAATTAAATTTTAATATTACTTTAAACGAGGAAGAACTGTATGAACAATTTAAAATGTTTAAACAATTTTTAAAAAATAAAACCGATGAATGGCAATGCAAAACATCTGAAGAAAAATGGCTGTCAATTTTTAAATCATTTAAAGAGAATAATATTGATTATTCTATGTTATTAAAAATTGTAGAATTTGCATTTGCATTGCCTGGATCTAATGCTGCAGTGGAGAGAATATTTTCATTGATGAACAGTTGTTGGACAAAGTCACGAGGTAATTTATGCATCAATACAGTAGAAGCTACTTTAGTCATTAAGACTAATTTGGAAAATAAATCGTGCCAACAATTTTATGAAGACATTTTGAAAAATAAAGATTTGCTCATTCGAGTTCATAAAACTGCAAAATATTCAACAACAAATCAAAAATCAGAAACGGAAGCTTCTGGATCTCAAACATGAAAAAATTCGAAAAACGAAGTTAGATGAAATCGATGATGAATAATGATGCATATTTAAACAATACACATATTAGTAAATAAGTAAGACCACTCTGTTTTAATTTAAATATTGTGTACCTAATTAATTTTTTTTTTAGATAATTTAAAATTATATTTATGAATAAGATAATAATAATACATTTTGTGCTGTTTCTAATTTTTGACTTTTTTATTTATTATAAATATAATATAATAAAAATATTAAATAACGTTGGACTAAAAAAAGTATTATTAAAAATTCCAAAGAATGTGTTGTGGGGGGGGGGGGGTATTATAGTGTCCCGACTTGTATTTTTGTATAAATGGCAACCCTAAGATAAACTATCTTTAATCGTGGCTCGTACAAAGATCGTTTGTATACAGATCTATTTTTGGGCGATTGTAAATTTCGCCCGGGGAAAATATCCAAGTAAAAAAGGTACATGTAAATTCCGCCCGAAAAATATGCAGGTACAAAAATAAATTTGTAAATTCCGCCCGGAAAATAAAATATTTTTAAACTAGGCATTCTGTGACTATAATGATCGAACGAACACGGAACAATCGTATCTCAGGCGACAATCGTCAATCATGTCATATCTTATCAACTTTGCCACATATTGTGGATTTAATAATTGGAAATATTATAAATTGTGTTCCGATAATATGGGAGTGATATTTTGACTCGTCATTATTTTTATAATTATTACTATTTTTACGATTTTTAAAATTTAATATGATATACACAATACATGACTTAAAATATATGCTAAGTATTGACGTAATATGTAAAATATATATCTATTTGATACAATTGTATTTTATTTTTTTTGTATTTAAATACCTACTTAAATTATAATGATTAATCTATGTTATGTCAGTAATAATATGATTAATTATAAGACACATTCAGAAATTTGTTTATTAAAAGTTACTTAAAATAAATGTATTTTTTATAAACCTATTGGCTATTATACCCATACGGTTTTGATCATAGGCGGTACTACGGGAGGGGCAAGGTAAGCTGCCTCCCTACGAGTTCTTACTCTCCCTATACATTTCAAATATTGGTTGGTTACCCCTCATATTATATGCTTATTTAAAGTCTGCATGGTTGTAAGTAATAATATTATTATCTACAACCATGGGAGCCATTTTTGTAAATACGCTGATAAGATTTTTTGCGTCGACATTTTCAATATTATTATAATTTATTTTTATCATTGACAAATCATGAACCAATATTATTACTTTATTATTATCTGTATGATTTGAAGTGTGTATTTTATTAAGTATTCTTGAGTTTTTTGGATAATAATTAATTATAATAAAAATTATGAACACAAACCAAAGTAAAAAATAAAAACTATACTTTTTCATACAAGAACCATCATAGGCAGCTCTACGAGGTGTGCCGGGTGTGCCTTGGCACACCCTAATGAAAACAATGCGAATAAAAAAATTGAATAATTACAATTGAGAATATATGTGAGTACACATTAATTAAATTTTAGTTTTTTGTAAGTAATATTGCAAGTGTTCAGAATAAGTCTGAAATAATAATTACGTGCATATTTTACCAATCCTTATTTTACATCATTAACGAAGCCTTTATTTTTAGAATTTAAATCATAACATGGTCTACACGTACGTGTTTATAGCCTCCCCATTATATTTCGAAAAAATAACCAAAAAATGACAGGGCACATTCAAATGTATCACTCTGGGTCTGCCTATGAGAACCATCACAGGTAAATTGTGGTAAGTTCTTATTTTAAAATTTTATAAGATAAAATAATATAAATGTAAGTATTTGTTTCCTGCCCCCTCCCTGCCAAGGTCTAGTACCGCCTATGGTTTTAATCGAAAAATACAAATAAAAGTAACTTTAATCTTTTAAACTTCGTTAAGTAATAAGAACTTCTTACTTATAATTTATATATAGGATGTGTTTATTAATTATCAATTGTTTTCAGGCGGAATTTATATGTATGTTTTCTTACCTGTATTTTTTTTTTTTTTTTGTGGAATTTACATGCGCCTCTATTTTTAAACCATTTGGTTACGTTCACAATATTATGTATATATTTTTTTTACAATGATTCAGGAATGTACCCTTAAATTTTTTTAGGACTACATCACTGCTCAGAACAGTGAGCATACAGATAGTTGAGAGTAAATTACTTTTTTCGGAAAATAAAAGTGTTTCCCACATATACTGATATTATAATAATGTATATTTTTCAAACATTTGGTGGTAAAACGATTTTAATTATCGATTCAACAATCGACTGTCGCACGATTTGCCCTCGTTCCGGTATATGGTTCGTGTTACCGTGTTTAGTAGCCGTACAATCGATCGAGATTTGAATGCCTTAACATCACTTTACCGACTAGTGGCGTGTAACTGCGAAGTGTTTACACGGAGTAGATAACACGTGTGTTTACTAGTAACGGGAGAGTGGTCGTCGTACGTCGTAATTACGAACGGATAAGAAAGAGTATGTATAATACGTCGATCTGAAAAACGATTGTTCGGGGTGGTGGGGAATGTTAGGAGAGAAGCATTGTAGAACGAAGCTACGTCGTGGAGGTCTGAACGCGTTCGATAACAGATTCCCGTGGAGAAAAGCGTGAACGACGTACGCCATAAATTACATATTTATGTACATAATATTACACGTATAATATAGCTATTGTTATAGTTCCGGAGAGTCGTTTCGGGCGAGTTCAGCGGTCGCCAACGCGCGGCGGTGTCAACGACCGCAAGCGGGAACACCCTACGCCGAGCGGAGGGCGGACGAAGACAAAAACAATAAAACGCGCGCGCAACATCTCGCTCGTGTCCGGACTCGCGGACAATCCGGTCAGAAAGTGCGTCCGGGGGGTGGGGGGGACATCGAGGTTTTATTTAGAGAACACGGAAACGACGGCGGGTCGTGTCCAACGTTATTGCGCATTTCTGCACACGCGATCCGAACGCGAGTAGGAGAGTGTTCGGGCGGCCGTGTTCGTTCGGTATCAGTGTTAGCGGCGCGGAAAAGCCTAACCTGACCGCGAAAAAGACAAAACGATCGGTTCGGACGACGAGCAAAAGTGTATGCCTCCCACCCCACCGAAGAACCATACGATTCGTGTCGTCCGTCCGGCAAACGTGGACCAGCAGCAACAATAACAACAACGCGTGTCGTCGAAGCCGCCAATCGCATCGAGAACAGAGAACGAACGGAGCGGTTAGTGTACGCGTGTGCGACGAAGCCCTTCCGCGTATGTAGGTCGTACGTTCGGTGCGTGCTCGTCGGGGTCATAGGAGGGGAGAGGGAGGGGATGGCCGACGAATACGACGCAGCAGCAGCGCGGACGGGGGACGACTGATTGGGCGGGCCCGTGCGTGGACCCGATCAGCTGTTGGCGGCGCGGTGCCGCCATCTGGTGACGGGTGTTCGCTGGAAAATGCAAAAAATTGACACCCACCCCGCCACCACCAGCACGAGCAGCTGTGAACGTTCTGCTACGGGCGGACGGACGGAGGGACCGTCGCGGCGCAGAAGTCTGTGCGTGCGTTGATGTATCAGTGTTGGTCGTGTGACTTTTGTGTGCGCGCGCGCTTACGGAACCGCTCTCTCTCTCACTCTTGTTCGTTCGCTCCTCCGTGTTATTCGTTTGTGCGTGCGTTGGCGACCGAGTGTTCGTGCATATGTGTTTGTGTGCGTACGCTGACGATCCACTGCGGTCCGTTCGCGCGATGATAAGTACTGCTCGCAGTGGTGTCGGTCGCACTAGTGCAATAGTTCGCAATCGTTATTATTATTATTATTATTATTATTATTATTACTGCTGCAATCGGTTATCGTCGTAACGTCTTTCTCGTTTTGCAATTATTTTTCTTTTTTTTTTCTTCGCGGTGTCCGAGGCAGCAGTAGAGTTACGCGCGCTCGTACGAGACCACTACGACGTTATTGTACCGTTATTTTTCTTTCGCCGTTTCGATACCGCCACGACGACGACAACGAGCAGAACAAGACGCGGTACGCGCGCGTGATATTGTTACAGCGGCGCGGCTGAGGCTACGACCGCCTGGACAAATGGCGGCCAGCCCGAACAGCAGCAACACGACAGTGGTGAGCGGTTCGGACTGCGGCAGCGGCGGTGCGTCGGCCGCAGGCAGTGGTTCCGTGGCCAACGGCGCGGCAGCCAGCAGCAGCCCGTTCGGGCAGCAGGGCGAGGACCGGTTGAAATACCTGTACCCGATGGTGGACGAGGACGACACACCGTTGCCCCGGAGCTGGAACTCAAAAGACAAGTTCACCAACCTCGGGCTGTCACAAAACAACATTCGTGTGCACTACAAAGGTACTACGATTCGCGTGCCCCCTCCCCTCCCCCATCCACCCGTTACGTCGTTTCCGATACGGTGTAAACGCTGCCGTGCTGGTGCGTGTGTGTGTGTAACAGTTCCTCCTGTACTCTATTCGTACGAGGGTAACAAAGAATCAGCTGATCATTGTTTTGTTTCGCAGTGGCCCACTGCTGGCCGCGCTACGCATTATGTGTCCCCGACGTCGTTGCTTTTCCAGCGTCTTTCCTCCGTTCATCTGCCTTACTTCTCTCGATCCAGAAAAAAATCGTCCAAGGTCGAACATTTCTGATCCTCACTCCCCTACTTTCCATCTACCTCCACCGCTCGTCTTATTCTTCAGCAGCCGTACGCGTTAAAAGGACTTATTTTTCCTCACACTCCACACGTCGCCGGAATTGTGCGTTACGCACGCTTTACGCGTGCAATTTCGCAACACGGCCATCGCGTGTTGCGTAAATACTGGTCGGGAACGAGGCGCAGTTTCCGTTGTTATTTCTGGTTACAATATACAACTGCCCTTTACTTAACGTAAATAGTGTTAGAGTAGGTATTGAAATGTATTGCATTCTCTTCTCATCTTATCCCATATCAGATAGTTAATCTTCATGAAATTCGGTCTCAATAGTGAACTCTGCTCTAATTTTGATAAGTTTTTCCTCTACACCCATGGAGCATTATCGTTTTTTAAAGAAATAGAAAATGGTACTTTTACCCAACTGGTTTCATTTAAATTTAATAAATATTTAGATAAAAATTGTTCCACTGTGGCTGCTTTTGATCAAGTATTACATTTGAAGTTGAGGTTATTTAAAGCTTGTAAACATTACAGTATCTCCATTGTTAAAGGTATTTAATATAGAAGACAATTTTTGTTTAAATGCTTGAAGTTTTAAGATAAGTACTAAAATATTGGAACCTTAGGTTCAGTTTTATCATTAACTTGATAAAAAAATATCTTTTAAATATGAAACTAAGCATATCTAATTTTCATTACTCAGCATTTTAGATAAATCTGGTTTAATGTCCCAGAGAAATATGCAAAACTCATCACTTAATTTTTTAACTCTTTTTCTCTTATTATAACTATCATGGGGAAGCCAATGAACTTCTATATGGAAAATCAATTTTTTATGAATGAAAGATCCCCCCCCCCCCATATATTTGTTTAAAATTCTAAAGAGTCAGTTTAATATTATAATCTATTTTGACAAAATTTACCATTGATTCTTTATTAAACATTTATTAAATTCTTTTTCTTCTATAGTAATTAAACTTTTTTAGCTTTGGCAATTAAAAAATGTATTTTAAAAAAAAACATTTTTAAGAAATTTATCATTTAAATGTATATGTTTGTAAAAATAAGAATCTGATAGTACATTTTTGATGTTTTCCTTTCAAAAATATCTGACCTTATTTTGATATAAGGGGTGCATAATGATTAAATGTTTTTTTAATTTTCTTGTTTTTCGTGGATTTGTTTGAAAATGTGTTTAAATCTACAACACACATTGGTTATTAATTTTTATGAATACATGATATAACAAAACCAAATTTTACATATCCAATTATATTCAATTTTAAATTTTTAACGTAATACTGCATAAAATGCTGAAATTATCAAACATTCAATTTTGACTGATTATCTAAAACTAGTATCTTTTTTTTTTTTTCATTAATGCATTTGAAAATTGGTCACATAAAATAAAATTGTATATTTCATGGCCATTTATCACTGGAGTTATACACCTAGCCAGAAATTACAGAATGCATCTTGTCAAATTCTAATCATCCCTTTTATCATGTTTACCATAACAATAAACAAAATTCATTTCTAGGATTTATTCCATTGTATCCCGGGTTGTATCCTTTGTAATTTCTATTCCTGCTTTAACCCAGACCTTGATATAATATAAATGCTATTGGTTACATATTATATCTGAAAATTCATGTCAAATATCATTTATTATTAAAAATATTCCTAGTTTAAGTATTTATCATTATTTAAAGTTTACATCAAAAACAAAGGAATTGAAATATTAGAATTTAGATTCATGTAACATGGTATAATTATCAGATTTCAAAAAACCAACACTTTTTTAAATAATTACTTACAGTAGTGATTATTTATGGGGGAAAGGTTCGTAGATCACTTCTTGTTAGGATTTTCCTTGTTTCAAATTAGTTCCTACAACCTATGATGAGAAGGTTGAATCTCAACCTCCTGTGAATGCCTCTCCAAAACTGATATAAACACCACTGACTACTTCTCTACTATACTTAATCTTTAATTAATTTTTATGAATTTTGTAACATTCATTTATAATTAAAAGGTTATGTAGGTACCATTGAAAATAAAAATATTACCAAAAACTGTCTTGCTTTTATTTGTTTGTTGGATTATTAAAGGTCAATTAAATTAATTATTGATATATGAGGCTTTATATTAAAGTCATAATGACAATCCATTCTTACTTAGGTAAGGTTAAATTAAAAGATTAACTGTTATCCCTTAAAATATTGGTGATTTGTTATACTGATTTAATTTTATATTTCAAATGAACATATGTTCATTTGTATTAAACTAAAAAATTCATGCACAATGATCGCATTTTAAAACCATGTGATTTTATTGTTTTTAAAAGTCTGATATTTACAAGAATTTACATATTTTAATTGGTAGTTAGTCATGTAAATATTAAAATAGTTTTTTTCTATTCAAATAATTTAAATTTGTATATTTCAAGATTTTCACAGGTATAGAACATATTATAGAACTTGAAAGGTACATTTTTTAAATTAAATTTAACATTTTATTAGGTAGGTAGTACCTAATATGATGGCGTAGGAAAATTTTTTTTATGATATTGTAACAGAAACTTCATTAGTTAATTTACCATAAAAAAAATTGAAACCCATTCGATGTAAATCACTGAATACATGTTAAAACCTTTGTGCTTTATAATAAGTAGGTGTTATAAAAAGTCACATTAGTATTACATCCAGTGCTGTAACTGGACTATTCGAGGCCCATGTGCAAATCAAAATCTTGATGCTCTTAATCGTTGTACATTTTTAAGCATTGACCTTTTCAAGCCCCATAATATGGTACAAAGCCTGGGACCCGAGTACAATGTACTCTGCACACCCGATTTTTACGGTACTGATTATATCATAAAATACTATTACACTTAATAACTTTTAAAAATGTATTGGTGAAATATATTTTTCATTGTACTGAATTAAATTTAATTTTCTAACCAATGGTCAACAATAAATTTCTATTGGAGTCCTTAACATTAAAATAATAAATCAATGAAGTCCAGTAAAAAAAATTCTTTGTCAAATCTTCTGTATTTGAAAAATAGCAGTATGAAACTAAATTTAAATAAAAAAATTACAATATTAGGTAAATACTAATAGTAATTTAATGCGAAAAATTGCATACTTTTTTTCTTAGTCAGTTTTTTGAAATCAAGAACTCATAGAAAACTTATGCACAATGTATCCTCAGGATGAGAATCTGTTAGTTTTGTCTAATATTTGTTTTTCAAAAAATTAATTTTTAGAAATGTTGCTTTACCAATGAATATCAAACCAAATATCGTAGCCAAGTTAATTGCCAGTTGCTTACAGTTTGGCTACTTGTCGATAACATCTTTAGCCTAAAAATTTTCCTGTAGGTCCATTATTTTCATTTTAAGTTTTGATTTTGAAAGATTAAATAATTGTTTAGCTATATCAGTCAGTTCTCTGTCTAAAAGAATTTCTTAAGGAGTTTTTAAGAATTAAGATAGTTTTCCTATTTATGTAAAGTCTTTGAATATTGCATCAAATTCCTTCATAAGATCTGGCAAGAAAGTTAAAATTTTTCAATGTTTACAATTTCAGAATAATTTTTGCATTGATATACATACACAAAGTAAGTTATTTAATTATTTACGTGTTATTAACGTATTATTACTTATTAGTAACTTTTATTTCTTACAAAGTACCAATTAAAAGTAATATTATAAGTATATTTCATATTATGAGAAATTACGTGACCAGTGACGGATTAAGGCCATCGGTATATTTGGTATTTTTGTGACTGTCGTTGGCCAATATAATCATGATAAAATCGATTATTACCTGCCCAATAAAATATTTGCAATGAATTATGATATAACTTTAATCTGAGTTTGATAAATGAAATATAATATACAATTTCTAATAATAATTATAATTTAATAATATAATAATGTATACTAGGTATATACTATATACAGTAAATAACATAATCAAGTAAAAAGTGTTGACGGGGTTCAGAGTTTTGACTTTCGTGGTCCGAATCCAAACCACAGTTCACCAGTTGCCGACCTCTGTATTCTAGATGATAAATTGTAACTTATTTATCTAAGGTCACTTTTATGTTAAAAATATCACAAATCTTATATATAAATTATTTTAGCAATGATGTCTAAAGTAAAGAAATTATCAATTATTTTATAACTTGAAAAATTTAAATATTTTTCTTCGTAGCAAATCATATTAATTACAAATATTTTATATTATAATCATTTGGTATTAGGTATATTGGTTTCAATCAATACCATAACTAAACAACTCAAGGCCTGTGTCCAATTTAAAATCTTGACGCCCTTTGTCATTAAACACTTAAGGCTTAGAACCTGTGAATAAAATACATAATATATAATACACACTCTGCACAATCAGTACTAATATATTAAAACACATAAGTAACTATAATTTAAATTAATTTCATCAAACTATCACCTTTTCATAACTATAAATATTCAATCTATTTGGTCAGTAACATATTTAGTATAAATTAAATTTTTTTGGGTTTGGTTATTATCTACACTGATAATTAGAGTTTATTGTCATTTGATACATTTAGTGTTTTTACTTTAAACTTCTGATTGATTTTTACTGGATAACACATACATTTGTGATATGGATAACTAAATATTATTAAATCAGTTTAGTCGAAATGAAAAGTAAGCCTAAACATAAAGAATTTTTTTTATTTATGTTAATCATTAATCTAACTTAATAAAATATTTTTTTAAATATAATAAATTAATAATTATAAGTTCAATACTATTTGATAAATTGCATTTAAATACATTTTTTGGAGTAGTTTATAGATAAAAACATCCATGAATCTTTAATAAATGTATTTGGTTTTATTATTAGTTCCTATTTTGACTACTACTTATATTTTCTAGCTTAATAAAAATATTCCAACATTTGTAGTTCAGCTATCAGTTCCTAGGTATATACATATGCTATTCTGTAAGATTTAAATTAAGTATTCTTGAAAATATGTTAGAGGTGAAATATAAAATTGAATAAGTTGCTAAATAATGAATATTTTATCTTCCTAGGTATTATCAATTACTTGACAAAAATAAAAACAACAATGTAAAAATTGTAGAAAATAGTATAGCCAATAAAATGTTTTACTTTAAATTGTAATATATTTTAATTAATAAATAGTAGAATAGATTGTATTGTTAATTCCTTTCAGAAAATTAAAATGTATTCATAATTAGTATCTAACTCTATCATATGAAAAGTACTACATTGCTTCAATATTCATAAATTATAGTAACTTTTATTATATTTTTTTAATATTTTCCAGGTAAATTGTTTACTTGTTTACGAGTTTAAAAATATTAGCATAGGTTTAATTTTTAAATCATTCCTTTATTAACACTGAAATAAATTATTATTATTGATATCTAAAATAAAACACGAACATATTAGTATATTCAAATAGTGATCATCAAATTTTAGTTTAGTATTAATACTTTTATAGGTAAAATAGTATAAAATACCACAAATAACCACTGTGGCTTTATGTGGCTACATAAGATTGTACTTTTATTTTTAGTTAATTATTTTTTAAATATAATGACATACTAAATTAACATAAAAGTGAGAAATACACTAATGTAACTAACACAAAGACAAATAAAACTACCTAATATATCTTAATATCAATGTTATCAAAACTATGATTTTAATTATTATTTCCTTCAGATTGCATAACAATTTATTTTAAATGCAAATTTGAAATAATGGCTATCATCCAAGGTCAATATTTTATTATTGAATGTATACTAAAATAAAATAAAATTTTTCAATAATTTATTTTAAATATTAAAATCATTAACTCAATGTATTTACTTACCGTTTTTATATTTTTAAGTAAAATTATCATATATAACATATCTAATTAATTATAGACAAAATATTTATAAATTATATATGCAATATAATCTTTTTTAATTAAGAATTAATTGATCTAGTAAAATGTTATATTGTAAAAAACCATTAAATATAATTTACCTGTAAAATACATAAAACTAAAGTTAGGTGTTTTCTTAGTGTTTTTTATCTTTCTTTTATCTTGTTTTTTTTTCTTTTTGTATAATTTCTCCATAACATCTTATATTATGAAGCAATGTAATTTGCTTAAAATATTTATGTCCAATATATTTCTTTAACTACTTAATACTTAGTTACCTGTTTTATTACTTAAGATCTTTATAAGTATTGATACTTAAAACGAGTGACACCTGTACCATTTTTCTAAATTTAAAATGTTTATAGTTTATATTTATATATATACAATATACAACTATTTTAAAAATAATAGTTTGATTGATAATCATTTTTTCATATAGGTACCCAATGTTAAATACGGAGTAAAATATATATTGTATCAGAATGTAATTATTTTGATTCAATTGGTACTTATCTTATTTAATGTATATCAAATAAGTTGCAAAATGATAAAATGCAATAAAAAATAAATAACAATTTAATATTATGTATTAATTTTTTCAATATACACATAAATAATAATTCTCAAATTATTATTTTCAGGTCATGGCAAAACACATAAAGATGCAGCTAGTGTTAGAGCAACACATCCTATTCCAGCTTCTTGTGGACTATATTATTTTGAAGTTAAAATTGTTTCAAAAGGACGTGATGGTTACATGGGTGTTGGACTTTCAGCCCAAGGAGTCAATATGAATCGTTTACCAGGTTGGTTCTTTGACTAATGAAATATTCTAATCTATCAATGTGTTTAATAATATTTACTAATTCAAAATCCAATTTCAGGTTGGGATAAACATTCATATGGTTATCATGGAGATGATGGCCATTCATTTTGCTCAAGTGGCACAGGTCAACCATATGGACCTACATTTACCACTGGCGATATTATTGGTTGTGGAGTTGATCTTGTGCACAACCATTGTTTTTATACTAAAAATGGAACTCATTTAGGAACAGCATTTACTGACCTTCCTGTGAGTAAATATTTTAACTTGTTATTGTGTTATACACTATACACAGTAGCGCATTTCATTTTCAAAAAATAATGTAGTGAGGGTTTTAAATTTTTCTAAAAAAAAATAAGTGATTTTATAATATTATAAAAAACATATATAAGGTATGAATTAATATTTATATTATTCTATTATTATTATAAATACTAATGAGGACTTATTCACAACCATGTTACATTATATGTTATAAATTAATGATATTTTTCTCTGTATCTTCATAGTAAGTCATTTATGACTTGGACCTTTTTTTTCTTGAAATTGAAAACCTGGGAATTCCTCAAAAATATTCCACATTATTTCTCAATATTTGTATATTACGACACATAATAAAAATATTAATCTTATAGTCAAAAAATACATTATAAAATATATATATATATATTAATTAATTAATTAATTAATATTTTATTTTAATATAAAATAATTATATTAACATTTTTAAATGCATAATAATATTTGTTATGTTATTTATGTTTTTAACAATAGAGCTTAAATTTTATATTATCAAATATTAATTTTTGTACAAAATCTTTGTTGATTTTATATCATTAAATATAATGATACGCTTTGATTTATCTCACAGCAGTGGTTGATAAAATATGTGCTGTACAATAATATATATATTTTTTCAGCCAAATTTATTTCCTACAGTTGGTTTACAAACACCTGGTGAGGTTGTTGATGCCAATTTTGGACAGTTGCCATTTGTGTTCAAAATCGAAGAAATGATGAAAGAGCTCAGAAACCAAACACAAATGACCATTCAAAATTATCCTTTTTCTTATCCCTATTCACAGTGCCAGACAAATTTCCATAAGTAATATAGAAAAGTTTTAAATACGTATCTAGTTATAACAAATTTTTGTGTTTCAGAATGGTTTCTACTTATTTAGTACACCAAGGTTTCTGTGCAACTGCAGAAGCATTTATTTCTCAAACTGACCAATCGTTTGAAGAAGAGATTGCTTCCATAAAAAACCGCCAAAGTAATTTTAAAATAAAATGTATTCGAATATCAACTGTATAATCAACTAACAACTTTTGTAGAAATATTAAAATTAGTATCAACTGGTCGAATGGGAGAAGCTATTGAAATGACCAATAAACTTTATCCTGGGTTACTTGAAACGAATCGTAACCTTTTATTTAAGCTCAAATGTCGTCAGTTTGTTGAAATGGTTAATGGTACAGATTCTGAAGTAGCACCTCGTTTTCATGAAAATGTTGAAGTTCAAACAACAATTCGTCCTTCTCCAAAACGTACTTTACAGTCAAATCGAAGTCCAACATCTATACAAACTAATGGGTAGGAATTAATAAATATTAAGGACAACTTGTAACAAATAACTAATATTTGTATTTATTAATTTTTGTAGAAGTATAAAATGTCAAAAATTATCAAATACAATTGAAGTGACTGAAATGAATTCGGTAAATTTGATATTAAATGGATCTTCAGATGCAACTACAGTTAAAACAATAAAAAATGGTACACCGAAAATTAATGACTACCAATTAGAAAAAATGGATTGCAACGAAGATAACCAAACGACTGATTATATTATGTCACCAGAAAGTGTTAATGGACATCATAATAACCATTCAGATGAAGATTATAATTCTAATGGTTATCACAATGGACATACTTGTGATGAACTAAGTAATGGTACATCAAGAGTTAGTGATAATGGAAATGAAGAATCAATGGGTAAGTTATCTACTAAAATGTTGTTTAAAAAAGTAATGTGCTTTCATTTTGGACTCCATAAAAGTTAGAAGTATTTTTTAAATACAAATAACTGATAATTTCATATATATTCTGTAAGAGAGAGAGTCAATTTTTATATTTTTTATGTAAACTAAAGCTCCATAACTTGTCACTAAATGTCTAAATTTTATGTAATATGTATTAATTTTCAGCTCAGTCTTCTGTTATCTATACCAAAACAAGCATTGATACTATCTAAAAAAAAAATAGGAAAGGTTTCTTATTGTTGTTATCTTAATTTTTACTTTGATTATAGAAATTGATCAACCAGAATATCTCCAAACTACCAAAAAGGTATGTGGCGGCAGTAAACCTGGTATTGAAAAGATGTTAGAATTTGGCCGTGAATTATTCCTACTTAGTTTGCAACTACGAGAAGAATTAGGAAGAAATGAAACTAATAAAAAAATGCTTCAAGTATGTTTATATTACCGCTTCTTTAATATTTTAAATCTTTATCCTTAAATTTATCCTTATTTTTAGGATGCATTTAGTTTGTTAGCATATTCTAATCCTTGGGATAGTCCTGTTGGTTGGCAGCTAGAAGCCACTCAAAGAGATAGTGTATGTGCTGCACTGAATTCCGCTATTTTAGGTAATGATATAAATATCTGTATTATAATATATTGTTGATGGGAGACTAATATCTCAAATTTAACTAAAAAAATGCTACATTTTTTTTTTTTAATCATGATAGTAATTTTATTAGATTAAATTATCTTTTTTTCCATGAGATGAGGTGGAATTGGTTCCATTATGAATAGTATAATTAATTTATTACTACATTAAATTGGTTCTTAATTGTATTTTGACTAGAGTAATGCTAACGTAACCAAGATTTAAATGTTACAATATTTGTTGAAAATTTAATTTTGCATTTGCATACATATTTAGTTTACTGAAAATGTTATGTTATTTTTAGCAAATTTGAAAATAATTATTGGGAACAATTTCTCACAATAAAAATAACAATAATCAATTTTGTTGCAAATATGTACGTTTCTCTATTTTATAGTAATTATTTTGATAGTTTAATAAAAGTTTTTTCTTTACTATTGTGGAATTTGATAAATGATCTTTCTTAAATGCCAAATAGACATTTCATATCTAAATAAAATTTGGAGTACACATTTATCATGAAAATAAATAAATTTCTAATTCTTTATTTACCCTTTTATTTTAAATTTGATTTCAGAATCGAGTAATTTACCAAGACGTCCACCTCTGGAAATGACTGTTGGTCATGCCTATGAACTAGTCAAGCTGATGGCAGCGTCTAGTATGGGAGCGTGTGCCTTTACCAATATTGATGAAATGCTCAAATGACCTTCGTGTACTGTGTGCGTCTCACTGCCACCATTCTGCAGGTACTTACTAAAGTCAGTGATCAAATATAAAAATTCTCTAGTTATTTTTAAGACCTGAATAATTTTCATTGGAACAGAACATACTCCTTTATGTATAGTGTTAACTTATAATTTTACTTCAGAATTTATTGATATGATTGATTCTATTAATATTTTTATTTAAATTGATGAAAAAAAAAACTTGTTTAGCTTTAGAGTACCTATTTTTCTTCCAATTCAGCATTAAACTGAATAAAATAAAAATTCTTTATGTTACCTTTTTTAAATTTAAATTTATATAATTTATATTTTTTAGAGTTCAAAATGATTGGCCGCCAATTTTGAATACAATGACAATGGCAAAAGTACTTTAAGAGCGGCCACATCAACCATTAAAATAAATATTATGTACAAAAAAAAAAAAAATAAAAAAAATTTATTGACAATTACATTTTTCTATATAAGAGTGTAAGTAGTATTTTTCAAATAGAATCTTATAATGTTTGCAATTTAACACATTGTAAATTAGCATTAAATTTGACTTTAATTGTCTGACTTTACCGCAAGTTATTGTCACTTAACTAAATATTGATCATAGCTATACATTTTTTTCTTGTTATATAAAATAAAAGAATTGTAAAAAATTGTTTGATTGAAAAAAATACAGATACTATTCTTTAAAAGTTTATTATATTTTGTTAACCTTTTTATTTTTGCGGACAAATATTTTTAAAATAACAATTTGAAGGTCTGATTAGCTTGTTGACATAATACTTTATTTCCATATGCAATTTTTAATTTGTTGTACGTAAACATTATTTGCGTATTTTATGATCTCTTCACATCATTTATGCAACATATTATAATTATTATTTGTTGTTATAATGTGATTCTTGATTACTTTTTCTTGAAAAATATTTTTTTTTTTTTTTTTATTGAATCAAATGAAGTTTTATTTTTTTATTAAATAAAAATTTCGAATCGCCAACATTAATACATAAGATCATTTAAATATTGTACTTTATTGTTTAATTTATAGTTGTTAGTTTCATATGATACTATGCTATGATATTTGTACTAACAAAGTAAAATTATTAAAATATAATTAGTTCATTTAAATATAGATTTTTTTCTGAAAAAAAATTTGTTTATTTTTTTACATAAAAGTACTGTATATTATAAATAATTATTTTTTTGATATATTGTTGCTTAGCAACGTTGTACAAGCTATCAAAACATTAAGCTTTACTCTATTAAAACTTATGTTTGTGTGTTATCAAATTTTTAATGTATAAATATATATCGTGAGTAAAATATAATTTTATTATCATTATTTTGGTACGTGTATTGATTAATGAATATTACTGTTGTGTGAAATGGCAAATGGATTAACTTATAATACTGCAGGTAATTTAGTAAAAATTACATACCAGGCTCACTATGATTGACGTACTCTTTGTCAGAAAAAATTTAATTGAAATCCTTTACAGAATCAACGATGCTAATTTTCAATGTTCAGGAAAAATCTGACTGGATTATATACAACCGTTACGTACAGCGAGATTTGGAATTGTGTAAATTATTAATTGAACAAGAGTTGCAAAATACCAAGGATAATAATGAATTTGCATTTTATATACTGGTAAAACATATAAATGCACAAAAATAAGCCTTTGTTTAGGTTTTGATAAAAATTAATTCAATTTAATAATAATAACTAAAGCAAAAAGCATTGTTACTGGAAACATTTATAATATTATTTTTAAATGTTTGATAATGCTCGGTGATCATTGTTAAGTTGTATGAAAAATATAGATTGTACGTTCTAGGGGTTGATATATAGAGAAGAAGGTAAAATAAAAAATTCATATTGGTGTTTCGACAGATATTATGCTTTAAATCCATTCTGTGTAGAAGGAGTCAAACAGATTGCTCGATCGTGGTATGTTATCTAATAGTTTTTAATGTTATAAGTATTTAATTTTTACATTTACTAGTACATAACACTATTTAATAATTATGGACCTAATGCTGATTGCTGACCCAAGAGGGTGTAAACTAAACTGCTGAATCAAATATTCGCTAGAGATGGCTATTACTCGTAGATATAATGCTGGCTTGATACATATCAGTCCCTATTTTTTAGTAAACCCCGGCACAAAGTATGTAGTTCAAAACTGGATGTGTGTACTATGTATTTGTAAAGTGTGTACTTACTAAATACTAATAAATAAGACTACTATGAAGGTGTTTTTCAGGAAGCCAGTTTAAGCGAGACAGCCAATAAGGACTTAAATATATCTATTAAATTTTAAGTTATATATCCCACATTAAAATAAATAATTTGTAAATAGTTTTCAGATTTATACTAGACAAGTGTAGGTATATTTTCAGTTTAAAAAATAATAATAGACTGATAGTTTCCTAATTAATTTATGCAATTTTATTAATAAAAAAAAAACTATTATTAAAAATGATTACTTACATTGTACTAAAAATTATAATCATATAAAAGGGAAGCTCTATAATATATTGTACATTAAAAAATGTGTAGTACTAATTATGAAAAATAGGGACTGATGCACAGTGGCGTATATAGGTTAGAAATTTATGGTTAGTACGACCCACGTGTGCATTTCTTTAATCTATGTATTAATTAAAACCAAACTGTCTAGTATGGGAAAAAAATGCTCTCTCCTAATTTTAAGCAAATTATACGCCCAATTCTTACCTACGCTTGCCCGGTATGGGGTGATTGTGCATCCTCGCTCATAAAAAAAATGCAAATTGTCCAAAACAAAGTCCTCAGAATAATTGCAAATGTTCCGTGGTTTGTCAGAAATCCAAATCTGCTATTGATACTTTGAATAAACTATCCGTTGATTTTTTTCCAAATATATGGTGCTTAATGTCAATATTAGTAACTTTACCAGTCTCAACAGCGTCATCAGAAAGATCGTTTTCGATATTGAAAAGATTGAAGTCGTGCTTGAGAAGTAGTACAAGCGAAAATCGACTAACAGGATTATCTCATGTCAATTCATCGAAGTATTTCAATAAACACTGAAGAAGTGATAAATAATTTTGCAAATCTACCTCGAAAATTAGACTTTGTCCTGTAATTAAATTTATGTATTCTAATTTTCATAGTTATTAAAAATAAGTTAATTTATAACCTTCATTTAGTATATATTTTTTCATAACCCCCCCCCCCCCCCCGAAATTATTCCTATATACGCCACTGCTGATGCATATTAATTAATTTCTAATTGTATGTAAATGCCTAACAGTATCATTTTCACGAAATAAGGAACTTCAATTACTTTGAAAGTACTAATCGAAAAATTTAAAAGTTTTAAAATTATTGACAATTCCAATACCATTTTACTACTTACACACTGATTATTTTATGCTTAGATGAAAAATAAATAAGAAAAAGAAAGCGAACCTGATTTCAGACTAAAAGTACTTTAAATTACGGAAATTTTTTCCATGAAATTTTACCTTTTAATTTGCATAGATAAAACGACTATTTTGTTTTACTTACGTTTTAAAATAATTCTAGATAGTGGATTTTCATAGCCTAAAGTAACATTATATTTATTTTTGTTTTCTAACCTAACCTATGGGTAAAGTAGTACAAAAAATAACTTTATTATTATCCATTTAATGTTTCCAATATTTAGTATATATATTTATATAGTATATATATATTACTTGGATGTCTCCTAAAGTACTTGCCTACTCACATTGACTTGAGACATAGAATACATTTACCTAATTACTAAAAATCAACATTTAATGTGTATTATTGTTTTATTAATAAAAACATTGTAATGCATTTAAATTTTTCTGTTGATAAAATAATAAATTTGTTAAGACTGTTGTCAGTGTGATATTTTAATATTCATCGGACTATCTTCACATATAATTTTTTTCTATTTTCATAATAACACTATAATTTAATAAATTGTAATAAATCGATATTCTGCATAACATGTTTTGATGCCTACCAGTGCTGCAACTACTGGGGTTTCTGGGAATGTAAAGAACCCCCGGGCCACTGTTAAATCATAACAAATGGACTATGACGAACGATTTGATTAAAATATCGTTTTGCTAAACTACTCGTATTAAAGTAGAACATGTATTATTAACTTTTGATTTAATTATTGATTAATACATGTAATAGGTACTGATTTTCTTGTTGACGATTAATATTTTTTGATTTGTTATAATTATTACACATTATAAGTGTAATGATAATCAATAAATACCAAGGGGTTGAAATCCATTTTTCCTCTTTGCTTATATAATGTTATAATATATGTTGCTTATAGTATTGACTATAAAGTATATATTATTTATGAATTAATACTATTAGCGAGGGGGAATCGATCGGTATTTTTTTAAGGCCTATTGTTACCTATTACACTAGTAGCAAGCGAAACGATCGGTCTTTTTTAAGGGTCTATGGTACATAGGCTTCACTATATTTGCTTATACACTCACCAATATAGGTATACCAAGTTGTGGCACTGGTGCCTACTATTAAATGAAAAACTTTTGGAACAAAAATATGAGATACGGTCGCCCGCTACGAACCAATAAACTAATAAACAACGTTGTAATAATTTATTTAAATATTTTTAATAATCAATTCGAAGTTATAAGTATTTGACGTCGTTACTGAAGTTTATATTTTATTCAATATAAACAGATGTATGCGAGCCATGTGTAATTATACCTATATATATATATATATATACTTATACATTTATATTAAAATAAATATTATTATTATTTTATCTAACTAAATATTTAATATTAAAAAAGTTATATGAATGGATATCTTCATATATTATGCGTCGATGCTCGATGGCATTGTTTTAGTTTACTTTTGGGGAGGAATGACGAAGCCAAGAAAATGTATTTAGAAGCTGAAAAAATGTGCAGAGAGCCAGACACTAAAGTATATTACAATCTTGGTGAATAATTTAAACTTGACTGACGTTTTGTTATTAAATATTTTAACTTAATTCTCTTATGGTCCTTTATAGGTTTATGCTATCTGAACTTGGGAGAATGGGATAAATCCAAAGAATATTTTAATCGCACTATTCAATTAAGTAGAAATCAAGACGCGTACGAAAAACTTGCTTCAATATTTGTTATGGAAAATAATTTAAAAAATGCGATCAGTGTACTGATATCAGCGTCGAAGTTAGTTATTAAAAAACTACAATTATTTTAACTAAATTTTATTACTAAAATATTTTATAAACTATTTGGATTTTGATTACAAATAAGAAAATAAGGTAGATTAGATATTATGGTAAATGGTTACATTATGGTAAATCATTTTACAGTGATCGATAATAAATAAAATAAAAGTATAAAGCATACCAAATATTCAACAACTTTTTTATATATTTTAGTATAATAATTAGGGCTCGGAAGTTTTAGGAGCTAAAAAAGGTAAAATATGCACGAAAAAATTGCAAAATAAGCATTAAAAATGATAAATATGTAAAAAAAATTATTCTGAATTCCAAAAATAAAATACATCAGATGTTGTTAATAAATTAATAATATACATTAAAACTATTTATTACTAAAAAAAATTATAACTGGCTGGCATTTTGACATCTTATTGAGCTGAAAATAAAATTAAAAATACTTTTTCAGTATTTTTTAAATTCCGAAAAAAATATAGGTTTTATACTGTTAAGTTATTGCATTGAACCACCAATACTTTCTTAAGATTTTCTAACTCAAATGAACGACGATTATTCGATAAAAGATGACTATGGCAATGACAATAAATAACTTCGTTGATAATTTTGAGTTTTATATTCAATATTAGTTGAAATATACAGGTTAAGAAAGAAAAAAATCAATTTTTTTAGAAAAATATGAAATATGCTTAATACGCATATAAAATCAATGAAATGTGCACATTTTTAGCTAAAATTGGCCAAATATGCATTTTCAATTTTCTATCTCGCAATTGTATACTTCAAATTGTTATCTAGGTCTGTTATAAATCGATATCATACAGAACAATAAGCATTTCCTATAACTTTTGACCCTAGTAATAATTCAATAAATTTTACTGTATACATCTTTATAGTTTCACTGCAACAGTAATATCCGTATTTATTTATCTGATATTTATTCAGGTATATAAGCAGGGCCGAATTATAGTCATAATATAAGCGGACTATTACTTTTGGTGAGGCTCTTTCACCTAAAATTATTTTATTTTTTTATTCAAATTTAGTAATCTGTAATCAATATTAATTAAATAAGTATAGTATATTTGTATATCATAGTACTCGTATTAATCGTAATCAAAATTCATTGATAAAAAAATACTTTATATTTGTTATCCAACGATTATAAAACATTGTTGCTCCTTTTAATTTGCGACCACAGAATTATAGTCCCCCAGTGGTATATTAAAAAATGTTTGGGGGTTATAACTCCCTTCCCCCGAAATGTCTCTGAAACTAAAAAAAAAAAAAATCCTATGGTTTGAAAAAATATACCTACGTTTTATACTTTTTATTAAGTATAATTTCACTTTATAGTAAATAATATTAATAATATACAAGTCCAGTGCAGTGTGTATATAATAAAGTTTCTATGGTAGTGTCACTGTGTAAACATCTGATAAGATAACAATACACCTCAATTGCAATCAGTCAACTTATAACTACAATAAAACAACTGCATTTTTAAACCACCTTATATTAGTAAAAATATTGGCTATTGGTTTTCCCGATTAGAATAGAATAGATTTAATTAGATTTCTTCAAGAATAATATCTAGGCTTAGAAACTGCGCCCATTGTTCAAAAAAACATTCAAGGTACCTTTTCGATAAAATTGTGTTAAAGAATTTTAAAAATTATTTTCAAATATGGAATCTATTTGTGACAAATTTAATACTTCTATAAGCTTGACATGATAAAATAAACGTTAACCATGTAGTTGTTATGTAAGTCCACAACAAATTTATAAAAAATCTATTTTCATTTTGTTTTTAGATAATTTATCGTATTAATTAAATTAAATATTTTTATCACTCAAGTGTTTTAAGTAATTTTTTTTTTTTTTGAATTTTAGCCAAAGCAGTAATGCAAATAACTCAAGACAAATAATTAATTAAAAAAATTAATTGAAACATATCAAAAAATTATTTATGTTTATACAATAATTATATTTTAAATGAAGAATAGACTTGTGGTATACCATCACCGATGGAATTCAAGAAAACTAATGTTATTGATCTCTACTTTAATATAAATTTAATTAAATTTATTAATATTTCATAAAGAAAAATAGTTTAAAAATAATATATTAATATCAATAATCTCTAATAGGTAACGCAGAGTATTTCTAACCAATCTGAACTTTAAGGAGGCTCCCTTTAAATTTTTCTAAACTGGGGCTGGGAATAAAATGGTCCTGTTGCTGCCCCCCCCCCCCCCCCAGGTGACGACCCTGTTTACATGCATTATATTGTTATACTTGTATTCATAACCTAACATAATTTAGTTGTTCATGTTTATCATATGTACCAAACTGCTGATTTCGATAAAAATATAATAAGGTATATAGCGCTCATCGAATACGTAATAATATTTACGTTTTTAAAAATAATCGATTAAAGTAAATGCATTACTCACGTCAACGTTCTGTCGAAACCTATTGATATACATTCATCATAATGTTACTGTAGGTTGTTTCCATTCAACACGAATTTGTCGGTGGACCTGGGCTTATTGTTTATGAAACAACGCGAATACGATCAAGCTTTTAACGTTCTTGGAAACACACTTTGTCAGGACCCTGAAAATCCCAAAGCACTCTTAACGCTAGCAGCCGAAATGCAGGTACCGTAACATTATATTTTCTATATTTTCCGTCTAAGGAAGTTATAATTTTTGCTTATAATTGAATCGCTTTTATGATAGAGAAATTGTGGATACGACGAGGCATTGTCTAAGTACACGAGGGCAGTTACCGACTTATCAGAATGTTCCGAAGCGTGGAACAACATCGGAATGTGTTTCTTTGGCAAACAAAAATACGTTGCGGTAATTGAATTAGTACAGTTATTTGTTTAAAGTTTAATTCACATTAGTAAAAAATATTGCTTACCCGCTATATGCACATTAACTTGCTTAATATCAATAAATATAAATGTGTACCAGGGCCGTATTGAGGTCTGGTGATGCCCCTGTTGAATCACTGTATTTCCCCCCAATGGGAAATTTGCATTTTTTTTTACAAAAAATCATATGAGATATATAAAGCATGTATAAAAACATAGTATACAACAATGATCATATTCGACCTTTTATTCTCGGCGGGCCACTTTAGTAAACAATTATCTTAGAGCAGGCCACCAAATATAAAAGTACGAATAATATCAATATTAATCTAATAATGTTATTTTGTTACACATAGTAGGTGTTCAATATACAGTCGACTCTCGGTAATTCAAACCTTCGATAATTCGAAACATTCGGTAATTCGAAGTAAATACTCGGTTCCTTGAAAACCACGCGGTAATTCGAACAAAAACAATGCATTTAAGTACACTTGGTAATTCGAAATTAAATTTTGGGAAAACTGGCCACTAACACTTGACAATTCGAAGTATCATTCGTTTAATGCTCGGAAATTCGAAGTATATTCACCAAATGTATTTTATCTGTATTCTTATAATCTTTTTATTAATAAATACTATACAATCGTGTAGAAATTTAGATTATTACTGTCGATAACTATAGAATATTATTGTAAGAACCTTATCGTTTTATTTCTCAATCGTCTCTAATCGTAATTTAACTCGTCGAGTCGTCGATAGCCGTCAGTCGAATGTAGTTTTATTTTAGTTTCGTTTGGTCGGTTGTAAAGTCAAGTTCATGTGATGAGTGCGTCTAATTCTAAAAAATACAAATCTTTGACGATTTCGGAAAAAAAACAATTGATTGAAGCGGTTGAAAGAGGTGACAAAAAAACCGAAGTGGCTAAGACATTTGACATTCCTTTAAGTACACTGTCTACGATTTTGAAGGACAAAAATAAAATCATCACTGCGTCATCAAGCGGTGGTCGGAAACGAAACAGTAAAGGTAAGAACCAAGACTAGAAGAGTGTTTAGTACAATGGGTTAGGCAATGCAGAGGGCAAAATGTGCCTGTAAGTGGCCTCTTACTCAAAGAAAAAGCAAAATCATTCGCCAAAGAGTTGGGCATCCCGTTTTTCTCAGCTAGTGATGGATGGTTAACGAATTTTAAAAAAAGAAACGGTATTGTTTTCAAAAAAATTTGTGGAGAAAGTTCTAGTGTTGACAATAACGTGTGTTCAGAGTGGCATTGTAAACTTTCAACTTTGTTAAAAAATTACGAGCCACGAAACGTGTTCAACACAGATGAAACCGCTCTATTTTTTAAATGTTTACCAGATAAAACTTTCACTTTTAAAGAAGAAAAATGCCACGGCGGGAAACATAGTAAAGACAGGTTAACGATTTTATTAGCAGTAAACATGGACGGCTCCGAAAAGTTAACTCCACTCCTCATAGGAAAAGCTGCCAAACCTAGGTGTTTTAATGGCATACGTTCATTTCCTATAACTTATCGTTCAAATAAAAAGGCATGGATGACGACAGAATTATTTAATGAATGGTTGTTTTCACTCAATGAAGACATGAAAAAACAGGAATGAAAAATTCTACTGTTTTTAGACAACTGTACAGTTCATAATAACCCCCCACCTTTAACTAATATAGAACTTCAATTTTTTCCTCCTAACACCACATCGAAGTTGCAACCACTCGACCAAGGTATAATTAAGAATTGTAAAACTTTTTACCGTCAAGAAGTTGTAAAGAATGTTTTGGAATGCATTGAAAGTGAACAAACGCCAAACATTAGTGTATTGACTGCTATGATATTTATTGATAAGGCATGGAAAAAAGTGGTTCCTTCTACGATACTCAAGTGTTTTAAAAAATCGGGATTTACCAAAAAAATTCATGAAACAGAAAACGACCAGTTAAATATTGAATCGATACAATGGAATTCCCTGCCAACTCAAGAAAATGTATCTTTCACTGATTATGTCAATATAGATGAAGATGTTGCTGTATGGGGAGTCTTCTCTGATGCCGAAATTTTGGAAAATACATTAAGCATTGATGAAGACAATGAAGATGACACAAGTCCTCTACCTCTTGTGACTTTAAAAGAAGCCAGTTTATCCTTGGAAAAATTACGAAATTTCTCGCTCCAGTCAGAAGTCACTGTTGAGGTTTTTGATGCTTTATTTACTATAGAAAATACTATTGAAAAAATTAAACTAAATTCAATGAAGCAGAAAACCATAACAGATTTCTTTAAAAAATAATAATCTTTTATAATAATAATAAATAATTAAAAATGTTAATATTAACAATAAATAACTCTAATATGTATGCCGTATCACCTACTTTACTAAAATAATTAATATGTATGTATGTATGTACAATAATAAAAAAAAAAAAATTTTTCTTAACTCTCTATAATTCGAATTTTTTTTTGCCCTCTCGTTATTTCGAACTACTCAACAATTCGAACTCTCGGTAATTCGAAGTTTTTTAGCAGTCCCGTCAATTTCGAATTATCGAGAGTCGACTGTACATGTAGGTATATATTGAATTTGCTTTCAAATATTTTATTGACTTCTAAAAAGATTATAGATTGAGGTGCACACTGTAGGGACACATTCGTTTGATCAGTACGCTCTTTTAAGTGCACCGATTATATCGTGAAATTGTAATGAAATTAAATTGAAAATGTTCGAAAATAAAATTTATTTATATTTTATTATTAATAATATTTATTTAATACATTTAAAAAAAAATCATATTTTATAGTCATTTTACTTTTTTATTAAATATTTTGTTTTATTAAAAAAAAAAAAAAATAATGGACCACATTGAATACCTTCGCGGTCCACATGTGGCACGCGGGCCGGTTGGACACCACTGGTAAACAAGGTAATAATTACTAATAAACTTTTTATATACTTTTAATAATTACTTGTATTACATTAAAATATAAACAATCAATACATTATAAAAATATATAATTTTCTTCAAATTTTTTTATTTTACAATTGTGTAAGATGATTTTAAATTTGTTTAATAGAATATTACAATGGCACTTTTTTTGCTTTCATAGAGGCAAATTTATCAATGCCATTATCAAATAAATCTTTTTCATATTTCGTGAAAAATATTACATAAGTAGTGTTGAAATTTGCGCCCTTCTTAAAATTACGCTCCTGACCCATCCATCTTGCCCTGATGCGTACTTATATTTACAAACCTACTTGACGATTTCGGTGTTGACGATTTTAAAACATTTTGATTAATACATTTTTTTCTTTCATTTATATTAATGAACGGTTTAATAAACTATGTGGAAAAAAGTCTGTGTAACAATTTCATTAACTTGAAAAATTTCCTTATCTACCAATTAATTTTATAATGATCTACTAAAATCTAAAATATATATTTATGTATTAAAAATTATAGATTATAGATAATAGATCGTATTAATAACATCAGAAATATAATATTTTTCCTTTCTATAATATAATAAATGCACATCGAATTACTGCAAAGTATTTTTGTATAAACTACAAAGAATAAGAAATAAATAATAATTTTAAATAAGCACTAAAAAATATTGAAAATAATAGATATTGGTTCAAAAACTATTCAAATTATTCGTTTTTAAAAAATATTCTCTCCTTTCAATAAAATAATCAGATAGACACATTAAAAAAAAAATACAAACCTTTAACTTAAAATTAATTTTGTCACTTTTTAACAAATTTTTTTCATACTTCGCGTGAAGTACCGAGTAAGGAATATATTGAATTTTAATGAAGATCTTGTACTGCAACATCTAAAAACTTAATTAAAGAAATTTGTATAAAATAAATGTAGGTATACTTATTGATTTTCAAAAGTAAAATGATCGTTACTGAAAAAACAGTGATTTTAAATTATGAATCAAAATAAATAAAACCATAAATAGCACATTATTACGATTTAAGCTTTATCATAAATCGAAACAAATTATTTTCTTTCTTCGCCTTCTTTACGGTGGTCACACAATACAAACATAAAAAATTGCCATTTCTAGTAATACTATGAATAATTATAAAGGTACATAATACGAATGGTCTCTAAATAATATCCACAGATTTCTAATATTTGTGTGTAAATACAACGCATTTATAAATATTAATATTAATCAACAGGCTATCAGTTGTTTAAAACGTGCTGTCTATTTGCACCAGTTTAATTGGATTGCTTTGTACAATTTGGGTCTTGTGCATCTATATACCAAACAGTATGTTTCGGCATTCTTATTCCTGTCTACTTCGGCGAAACTTAATACAAACCATGCTAGCACCTTTATGCTCATTGGACGTAAGTCAATCAAAACTATTATTAATTAATTTTATATTAATCCCACAGCTAATATTATTTTAGTAAAAGTTTTTTTTCCAACCATTTCAAACCATTAAAATAAATAATAATTTCTAGTAGGCATAGGGGTGCGCACAGGGACAGCAGGTTGTGCTCTTACTGCCCCCGGACTGTTTAAATAGATTTGTTAAGACCAAATAGTTCAAGCTAGCTACCGTACAATGCTCAATAAAAAATAAGTTGGTTTATCCGAAAAGTGCATTCAATTATCAAGCTAATCTTTACTGTGTTTAAATAAGTTATAGGTTGCAAAAAAACACATTCACTACAGGCTTCTATATTACATGTATATGCCATTTGTATGAAAAAAAATGGGCCGATAGAAATATTCGCTTCCCCCGACTTGAAAATCTGCGCACGCCTATGCTCGTAGGTTATGGGTACACATTTATCGTTTGTGTTTTTAATAATTTAACGTATAAACATTAAACGCCTAAGCGTATCTAAATACACCTGCATATCTTATCAAAATTTATTGTAACAATGCATTAATAATTAGGTATTTATTAATTGCAACGATCGGAAACTTCCACCTAATGATAAAAATATACAATAGATTGTACAAAATAATGTGGGGGGCAGAAAGACTGCTAGCGAAAGTTATATTACAGACGATCAAACCAAACACTCATCACAACTAGAACACAATATCATTATTATCAGTGTTCGTAAGTTCGTTCCCTAAAAAATATTTAAATAAGCATGCATTTATGCACTTAAAATTGGCAAAATATGTTTTGAAATATGCCTTAAAAAGTTAAAAAATATGCATTTAGTATATATGTACTAAATATCTAAAATTATGCACTTAAATAATGCTTACCTAAAAAAAATTATAAATTATTTTTGAAATAACATTTTTTTTATAGCTATATTTTATTTTTTTATATCACAATTAAAAAAAAAATAGATTTTAAATACTCTATAACAGTGGTTGCCAAACTTTTTTTTTCCTCGGGCCATAAAAAACAACTTTTTTTTTATCGCGGACCATAAAAAAATGCATTCTAAATTTTTTTTTACGTAAATGCAAAATATTACAGTTATACAAATAAGTGCTGTAATATAGAAGACTTTCGCGGGCCAGATATTAAATGATGGCGGGCCGTAGTTTGGCCACCACTGCTCTATAATATCATTCTTGAGCCTTCATTTACTGCTTATAAAATATGTCTTTGTTAGTAATTAATTTTAAATCTGAAACTTTTGAAACAAATTTATTCATTAAATGTACGAGTATCAAGAAGAAAAGAAAAGAAAAATTTATATTTTTAATTTTATATTTATTTTACATTTAAATTTTTTATAGATTCTAATAGAATGTTGTATAATATGCCCGATAAAATAGAAATATGCATAAGTATGCCAAATATAAAAAAACAGGGGCGCCGTAATATAAAAATATATGTAGGACAAATCATAATTGACAATCCACCCACCCACTCACATTACATAAATACCTATTTAAGTTAATTACCTTAATTTCATTCAATAAGACAGTTATAATATAGATATATTCTTAATAAGTTCATAAAACTGTGTTATGCGTATAACAAGCAAAAATCCATAATTATGGTACCCATTTAAGAATCATACAAATTAACTATTATTAATAAGAAATATATAGTACTTACATGAAATCTACAGAAATATAAAGGTATTTATAAAAAATTTGTGTATTTTTATGTTCCTCAATTTACAGTTTTGATTAGTACTATTTTAAACAAACCTATATTTGTTTTTGTATATTATGTTTAAATTCAATATAATTATAGATCATTAGTATTAATGGTAATTAAATACAAATATATAAACTCTAATCCATTGTTTACATTTTTAAAATTTATTACTTTAAATAATAATAACATATTGTCATAATAGATCAATTTTTAATTTTTATTTAGTGTATTACGTATAATAATTATTATACTTATTTACTTATATATACTTATATATATATATATATATATATATATATACTTATATACTCAGTTATTGCCCACTCGGAACCCACCCACCCATTTCAATAAGCAGGGCAGTCGCCCTACATCAATATAGATCCCGGCGCCCCTGTACAAAAACATGCAAAATAAGATTTCACATATTTAACCGTGGTACCTTGAATTGGATTTCTATATCATCTAGCATTAAATAAAACTTTGCATGATTTATATGCAAATGCATGAACTTACGAGCCCTGATTATTATTATACGTGTTTTTATAGGTGTGGCGTATGATATTGTATTATTGATATCACTGGCTTAATCTTTTTTGTCTGTCAAACACAGCCATACTGCAGTACAGTTATGAATTATTCGGTTCATTAATCTTACCATATTGTGTGTTAATCTTCAGTAGCATTAAACAATATGAACGACACAAGAAATGCAGAAAAAGCCTATCGGAAATCCATAGAGATAAAATCTGACAATCCAGAAGCTCTAATAAATTTGGCAATTTTATGCGTCAACCAAGGGAGAAAAGTAGACGCCAAGAAATATGTCAATGCTTTTCAAGAAACATGTCTGTCCTGCAGTCCGATTGACAAAGAAGTAGTGTAAACATTTTGATTATATTTTTATTCGCTGAGTAAGAAAATTTGTACATATACCACGCCACATACTATACATACAGCACTCGTTTTAATTTCATCCAGCGACGTAACTATACGATGGCTAAAGGGTGTGGTTGTGCAAATATATTTTTACTAAAATCACTAATTAATAATTGTATAGAACCATTTGATTATCAATCATCAAATACATCTCACTAAAAAAGTTTTATTTTTTATTGATATGCTTTATTTTATCGTGATTTATTATAAGAGGTAGTGTATGACTATACGGCAGAGTTGAGCAAAAACAAATCAAAATAAAGAATAAAAAATAAAAGCATGAACAACTAATTTATTTATAAATAAAGAATAATTTTTTATTCTGAATAATTGTGGTGTACTGAATAAAGAATAAAATTATTCAGAATAGTTTTATTCGTGAGTAAAACAATTATTCAGAATAAATTTATTCGTTAAAATCATAAATGATATTAATTTTTTTTTTTAACTTGTGTATTATATTAATCGCAATCATATGGGCGTAAATTGTGCCCTATCCAAACCTAAATTTTGGTAACTAAACAGGTTACTAGTAGAAAACTAATATAGAAATGTTATCACCTTTGGCGTTTTTTACATTAATCTTTGTAGACATATCGGTAAATTACCAAACAAGTTTTTACGTAAATTTCACATAATTTAACACTTTAATAATAATTAATGATTGAATAATAATAATTCAAGTAATAACAACAGTAATAATAATTTGTAGTAATAATTATAACAATTATCGTTATAGTAACTATAATAACGTTTGTGTATCAAGAATAATAACATTTTTATATATATTATATATACTATTTAAGTCTAAATAATAAAGTCTATTATTATTATACATCGTTATTTAGGATTAAAATTTATTATTTATATGATTATAGGGAATAACGAATAACTGAATAATGAATAAAAATAAAAATCAATAATAAAATTAAGAATAAATCAATGAAGAATAATTTTTTATTCAAATAATCAATCGAATAATATTTTATTCGACTTATGTCCAACTCTGCTATACGGAGACATTGAAAGTTAAATTTAAAAGTTAAATTCTGCGGTTCAAAAATTGAAATTACATGACACTGATTCATAATTGATAGATTTCAAATAAACGCAATTGAACCATGTCATAACTATTTTTAACAAGACTTGAATCGAAAAAGACTGAATAATATACTGAGTAATATTTAAAAAATTGATGAAAAACATATAGTCGCGGATAGATCATAGTCATATGCACTCTGCAGTGATAACGAATAGTTTTTATCGGTCATATAAATATCATATAAATACAGTCATAGAAACGTATAATGAAATATTGGGTTACTTCCAATATCTATATATAGCTGTCAATCACAATATCTTTGTAAGTTGGATTTTATCGATAGGAGACAGTGGTCTCCTTTACGAACCATTTTCTTCAATATTTCGTATAGAAAGTACAGTTATTGCCTGTCAAAGTTTGGTAAAAAGATGTATGAAAGTGTATTTCGTTTGTATACGAAATAAACAAAGGGGAATAAATACAGTCCAAATGCCGGTAATAACAATAATAATGCATTGAACTGTAGAAGTGCACGTGTATTCGATAATCTTGATGGGTTATATTTTCAATAGGATTAATTGCCTGCGATAAGTTAAACGTTTTACTTAATGTAAAATTAATTTAAATTCCGACCGGTATATTGTAAATGGGAAAAGGAAGGACAATCGCTGTATAATATTAGTCAAATCGTTATTATATTTCATATAACTACTTATAGAATAAGTTTTTAATTCAATAGTTAATATTGTCTGGTCAGTGATAAGAAAAGCGATTCCGTAATTAATTTGGTGTTCTTGTACAACATCATAATTATTCTGCTTACTTTTCTTATAAACTCTGTATCGCTTTATTGATGATCAATGGTAAGAAAATCACAATAGCCGAGCTCGTTACCAACAATCCGATGTGACTGAGTTGCTTGGAAGCTATAAAACGATTAAGTCAACATGACCAAACGATTATAATAGGTACACATTGTGTCGTCGACACTACTCGTCAGTGATGTAGCTAGATATTTTTTCTAATAAAACTCGTTAATTTGATGGGAAAAATAAATGGTAAATATTTTTTTATGTTAAAATATTGTTATTAAATAAAAAATATTATAATTTATAAATGCGTATATTTTGAATTGTATAAACAACTATCGATAACTAAAATGTAATTTTTACCCATAAAATAAAAAAACTTAATGAAGTAGTATTAATAAAAAAGTAGATAGGTCGGGCCCAAGAAGCATACCCGCTGGCTACGCCATTGTATGTAGTTTTTTTATACTATATAAACGGTTGTATCAGACCTTTTTTAATTGTTCTGCCAACGCAATACATTTTTTCGGCGCACGGTAACATGTCCATAGCGCCCCAAAGTCTCTCAATATACGTTTCAGTCTCCTGCAATAAAGTAAAAACGATCAAATTTAAACAGTACATAAATAATAATATTAATATATAAATCGTTTACTATATAGAACACATATTCTCGGGTCTCGGGTCGTATAATTGTGATAATTTTACTTTTATTACTCGTTTCATCTATTATCTGATCCAAAATAATAAGTACATGAATATACGAGCGTTTAAATGAAATTAAATAATACAATTCAATTATATAATCCACATTATAACATGCTGAGGGGGTAAAATCGACATAGTGGTCCCGCGGTAAATGTAAAAACGCTTTTTTGAACCATTGATGTGTAGACAATGCACAAACGTATTCAAATCAATTTTGAGAATATTTAATAATGAAACGCAGTTTTCTATAAAATTTTGTAGAAAGCCCATACACAATTCCGTTTATGTGATTTGTTTGTATGGGATATATCACATACATTACGTATCTTCTCTAATATTATTTTAGGATATATTTTCGAACTAAAAAAGATTAGATTAGATTACGAAGTTCGAACATTTTCTTAACGAAAAATGAACCTTCCGTTTGTTTAACTGATGGGTTCATTGAAATAAGTGTTAACTTAAATACATAAGTGCAACTCACTCAATAAAAAATTATCACGCGTCACTAAGTTAAGCGTTACTATTAAGCATACTTTTATACTTGAGTACTTACATAATCGTCGTCGCTGTATTCTGGATTCATCTTGAATTCAGGAAACCTAATGAAAAAAAATAAATAAAAAATGTTAGTAAAATGTTAAACTAACATTAATTTAAGTATATAATAGATAAACAGATTAATTGTTTGGCAACGGTTTTATCACACAATGTTAGCCTAGAATTATATATGGGTAGCAAATATTTCAGAATAGTTTATTGATTTGTTGCTCTGAAATGATTATAATTTTCATTAGTTAAAGGGGAGATTCTAAACATTTAAAGAACCATTGTACCTACAGATCAAGTATTGTATACCCTATTTGAATGTATGTATCTATCTGAATAATTAGAATTTATTTTTATAGCTAATGAGTATGTATGTTGCATATACTCGTACTTGTATATTGTATAGTTACTGTTATGTTTGTGTTACAGAATCGCATGGACAATCCATCCATCTATTGACAAAAATTGAGAGGCCATGTCCTCTTAAAAATCCCTTCACCACGCCATTGCGTACGATAGTATAAATTGAAATTTGATATTCATCTGTTTGATTGTTTTATATAATCATTACAATCTCATTTTCACGTATAGATTTCCTAGATTTAGTTTTTAAAATCGATTGAATTTTCCGTCGATTAATAAAAATATAGTTTTATTAACATCGAAAGTGGTACTACAATTAATACAATAAAGGAATTATTCATGAAAAGTTTGAAGGTTAAATTGTTAAATTATACGTCTTTATTTATTTTACGTTACCGTTATTATTTATTTTAAATTAAATTACCTTTTTTATATAAAAGTTTATCAAGTTTTTAGCTACAATTGAAACTTAGATATAGTAGTAAAACATATTATCGATCAATTCGTGTTTTGTTATAAACAGCCGCCATTGTCGTTATTAGTTGTATAACCACTTATCCGTTATTATTTTCAGATCATCGAACTAGGAAAACAAGTGTCGGATGCTTTGGAGGGACATTGTTTAATCGACAACGAAACCGCATTAGAATGATGCAATTTTTTTGAATTTTCCAAACACAACAAGACATTCAAACGTGACAAAAACGCTTCATGCACCGTATCGGAACAAAATAATATTACCACGTGGATTTTACAATAAAAATAGTTAGACCAGACCTAATTTTTTGTTTTAATTCTAAAATAGGAACAATAATTGCTAGTTTTTTTTTTACGTGATTTAGATAAGTACATAACAAAAACATTTAAATTCAACCCCTACAAAGAAGCATAGTTAAATCTAATTTTCTAACAATAAAATTCGGGTTATATATTAAGTCTTTAATACACTTTTTAATACTCTTGTAAGTCATGACCTATGACAATGAAGATCATGAATAGTTTAAATAAAATTTATTAAATGTATAAATTATAAAAAAAAACTTTACTCTAACACATTTCAAAAAAATGTTTAAGCTGAAATTTAACTATAAATACGTATGTCTGTTATACGTTTAGATTATGGACCACGACTGTGAGCACATCATAAGTAAATTTATGCAATCAATCATTATGTGTTTTATGTCACGGGTAGAAATTATAACGTATACAAGCCACTTATGTTCAGTTTTTACGTTATATTCACAGTTTCAGAAATCGATTTGAGGAGTGGTAGAAGTTATTCATGAAATGCAATAATTACGTTTTATAGAATTTCCTTTTTTAAAAAGCCAACCAATGGGTCACTTACAACTCAAATTTCACTTTATAGGATAATTGATAAGTGGAATATCCCTTACAAGGCTGATTTTATATACAATTATAGCAGTGGCGTGCGGTCAGGACAAGCTAGGTAAGCGGCGCATGCCCAGCCAAAAAGGAAAAAATAAAAAGATTAATATTTCTGATGTTAAATGACAATTTGTTTACATTAAAACATTAAAATTACAAATATTTATTAATTCTTATTTTTTTGTTCAATTTAAAAAAATGTATCAGATTTTGAAAAAAAATTAAATGATTTTTTTTCGTATAGGCAATTTCTCTACAGAAGCGTTAGTATTTTAGATTGCCTTTCTTATATACATAGTTATTTATAGGAATGACCAGTTGTGGTAGAAGGGGATATACACGTTTTTACGTGATGGATGAAAGCGCTATGCCGAGCGCTTATCGATATTTTTAAAAACGGAATTCCAATATTCTTACAATGCATATCGGATTATTTTTGTTTTCAATATACATATTATAAGTTATAACTATACTACTTATATTATACTATACTATACTTATGATAAATAAATTATTTTGTCGTCAACCGTCAACGTGTCCACAAGTCTTCATAGTTAATTTTTTGTTGAACAAAAATTTTTAATGTAAGTATATTAAATTCCTATTGCATAATTTTATGGAATAAAAGTTAAGTTTACATTCGTCATTTTAATATTTCTAATTATTTTAATACTTCATGGTTGGCTGGTAGTGCAAAATTAAATAAAATGTTCTGTTGGCCTTGTGTTTTATTCACCAGGGAAAAAAAATGTTTGGTCTCATAATGGTTTTGTTAATTTAAATAATTTAACAAATGGTATTCGAAAACATGAACGATCTCAAACACATATTTCTTCAGTTTTAAAATTAAAAAAGTTTGGAAAATCTAGAATTGATTTGCAGCTTGATGAACAAAAACGTTTAGATGTAATACGCTATAATGAATTGGTAAAAAAAAATAGAGACGTTTTAAAACGTTTTATTGATTGTGTTTGTTTTTTGGCGATCCATGAATTACCATTTAATGGTCACAATGAAAGAGTTGATTCTTTCAATCAAGGAAATTTCCTCGGTTGCTTAAATTTATTATCATCTTATGATTCTATTTTAAACGTACATTTAGAAACATCAAAAATATTCCGTGGTACATCCAATAGAATTTAAAATGATCTTATTTGCTCAATTAGCAACATCATATCAACGTCCATTGAATCAGAAATAAAAAATTCTAATTTTGTTGCAATATTATTAGATGAAACTTCAGACATAACAATTCTATCTCAAGTATCAAAAACTTTAAGGTATGTCCAACATGAAACTGGGGAAGCACATGAACGTTTTATCTCATTTGTCGACGTTAGTGCTGATAGAGCAGCAGACGGTTTATTAAAACACGTAGTTGATATAGTTAATAGGTATGAATTAAAACATAAATTAGTAGCTCAAACTTAAGACGGAGCGGCCGTTATGAGTGGTCATGTTGGAGGACTACAAGTTAAAGTAAAGGAGCCCTACCCAAAAGCATTATTTGTCCATTGTTTTAGTCATTCATTAAATCTTGTATTTTCACAATCAGCATCAAATATAAAAGACTGTAAGATTTTTTTTCAAACACTAACTGGTATGGCATAATTTTTTAATAAATCTTCTAAACGTAAACATGCTTTATCTAATTTTACAAGAAAAAAAATGCCAAAAAATGCGCCGACTAGATGGAATTTTTCTTCTAGCTTAGTAAATACGGTTCATGAATACAATTCATATTTCAACACGTATTAGATAATTCCAATGATTGGGGTAATGAAGCGATAGTATTATCTCAAGGGTTCATCAATTTTTTAGATAGTCGACAAACATAATTTTTGCTAATAGTATTTAGTATAATATTTAGTTTGACTGATATTTTATATGAAGTGTTACAAACTAAACGTTTAGATATTTTATATTGTGAGAAAAAAATTGAAGAAACTAAATGTCAACTACAAAATTATTGGTTAAATCTATTTGAAAAATTATGGGAAACAGTTTTATTAAAGGCGATTTTGAGCTACAGCGTAAAATTCGTGACCAGAAAACATTTAAAAAAGTACTTTTTAATGAATTAATTTATAACATATTGACAAATTTGCAAGCGCGATTTGGTTTTTTAAATAAATTTGAATTTTTGTAATTAGTTGACCCTAGTAAATATTCAAACTACACGAACAAATTTCCAAACTCTGCTCTAGAAAACTTGCGAGAGTCAATTTTCGGAGAAATATTTGATTTTAATAGATTACGAAACGAATTAATTGTATTATACACATCGGAAAATTTTTAAATACTAATCCATATAATTTAGTCAAAAAAATTAAGATAAATGATTTAATATCGACGTTCCAAGAAGTATTTAAACTCAGTCAATTAATTTTAACTATTCCTAGTACAACAGGTTCAGTTGAACGTTCTTTTTCGGCATTAAAACGAATCAAATCGTATCAAAGATCTACATAAGGGCAAGAAAGACTTAGTTCATTATCATTAATTTCAATCGAAAAAGAACTCCTGCACAAAGAAAAAAATCATCCAGAATTTTATGATAAAGTTATTAACGAATTTTTAAAACATGAAAGACGAATGGATTTTATCTATAAATAAATTTTAGGTTGTAATTTTTATTTTTTATCAATAAAATACCTTTTTTTGTTTTAATTTGAAATTTTATTTTAGCGCTTACCCAAGATAAAATATTACCGCACGCCACTGAATTATAATTTGTGTCGTTTAAGTCGATGAAATGATATCGCAATGCAAATATGAAGATGATGGTAAAAAGTATTCTCACGATATGATTATCTTCTTTCTTAACGTACAACACTATAACAAAGCTGTTACATACTCATGGTTTAAGACAGTTTAAACTATGCGCCTATTAATTAGTTAATAGGTCCATGATTAACATAGTTTATATTAAATCAAAGAGTAATCTCAATGTGTGTCATACAGTAATATTATTCTATTATCTATATACATACGTTTGATTAACATAAATTATTAGATACATTAACATAAATCACATACATACAAACATAACCTGTTAAAATACGATATTACGGTTCACGGTAAAAACTGTTACCTCGGCTGCGAGGAGAATCTGAGGCGTAGGAAGGTGTGGGTTAGCAGAAATACGGCTGATTTTTACTTTTTAGCACTACCTACCAAGTGATTAAACTCGTTCTCGTCGCCAAAAAAACACAGACTTGTATTTATGCGTGACACGTAGAATTCTCGAATGCTAATCATTACAGACCAATAGTCAGCTAGTAATATACGTAGTGCCGGATTACGCATTAGGCGGAGTAGGCGCCCGCCTTAGGGCCTCACTCATTTAAGGGGCCTTGTAAACTATATTTTTATTTAATAACACCTGTTTACGAATTTACGGTACAAAAGTCATTATGAAATATAATAAATATTAAGTTGTAGGTGTTATAGGCAGTAATAATAATAAAATTATTTTGAAAAAAATAGAAATAATATAATAATTAATTGTTCTTGCAAATAAAAAAAATTAATTAACATGATTTTATTTATTAATAATAGTTGGTTTTAATTATTGAATAGTAATGTTAAAGATGTATGTAAAAAATAATTTTGTAGGGCCCAAAATTTTAATCGCCTAAATATTTAATCCGGCACTGAATATACGTGTATAATAATGGTAAACTGGTACTTTTTGACTGGTATTGACTTGGACGTTAAAATAAGGTCGGATATTTCGACACAACGAATAATCATACTTAATGGTATAACTGATTATATTGTCCGACTAAGAATTTTTAGACTTTTTGTTTAGATGATTTTCAACGTTTTTCTCCCTCAGTGGAGAAAATAATCGGTTTGTGTAAAACCTGACTTAAATCGAAATGATTTCCAGTAGGATTTTACCGTCGAGATTCGTGGTTGTATTATTGAACAGCACGCACACAGCTGGCGTTGCTCTCGCTTTAACAGATTCATCCCAGAAGCGAATGATGCTTCAAGCTTCAAATCAAGCACTTTTCAAAGAAATAAAAGACGCAATACCTATAATAATGCAGTGTGATTATTATTATTTCAAACTCGTACAAAGACGGACGGAGATCAGGACATAAGGCTTGGAATTAGACAAGCGTAAACAAACACAGCAAATCAATAAGTACATCGTTTTTTATTTTATTTATTAAATAGTTACATTGTGTTAATTAAGTTTCATTACAATGATTTTATATATTGTAAATTATAAATACTTTTAAAGTTATGACTCGTACCAACTCTATGTCGTCGATGATATCTGTACACGTGATGATATCGACTAATGACGAGCGTGTGAGACGTACAAAAGAGAGTAAGAGAGAAATAGAGCATTACAAATAATTGGGACTGGGTATCACATTTAATACATAATGTTTACACAAATATAAATACATTATAAAATATTAATTAGTTATACGTTTTGAGGTTTAATGAGATAACTCATATTTCGGACGAGTAAAATATACGATTGTCCAGAAGGGACTGGCGTAAACTATAATACAATACATATTATAATAAAAAATATGCTTTATCAAATTAAGTACTTGAAATATCTAGACGATACACACTTAACACACGTTTATTGTACAGGTTGTACGTATGTATCGTGGAGATATTTTGTAAATAATGTATAATTAACAATCCCATGTTTGATGCAATGATGCAGAGGCACAACCAAACATTTTTTAAGTGGAAAAGGTTATTGGAAGGAGTTTGTTATAAATACTGATATGAATTATTGTTATTTTTAGTAATATTAAAATATTTTGATTAGAACAAAAGTATATTAAAAAATTTCTTGTGTTGTGTTCATACATAGCTATATAATATTTTTCATTGAATAAGTCACTAGTATATACATATGGTATTTTACCAATATTTTAAATGCAAGAATATACTTAACATATATATAAGATACAAATTTTATCTGAATTCTTTATTGCTACAATACTATAAAAGTTTATATTAGGTATATGAATGATATTTCACAACACTGTTTTCCGTATTAATCATATTTAGTTTGTGGTTAAAATCATGATGTAAAAGAAAAACAAAATAAAAACACCATTTAAGTTAAAATAATTTCACATTTCCCAAACATTTAACGACCATTTAATAAAATAATATCCTACCACATTTAGTCAATAAAATAACATCAATATACGTTGACCCTACACCATTTAATTTTAATGTTAACATTAATTAATAATATTGAAACTTTAATTTCTTTTATAATACAAATCACCGATTAGTGAAAACATAAAATTCATGGTAAGTACAACATAGTAAAAAACAAGTTAAAACAATTGAATAAAGAAACACAACATGTCATTCTACAAATTATAGTTAATTTCATTTTGGTAAGTACCTAAGCGGAAACATTAAAAATTAAGTTTTACATTTAATGCAAGATAACAATTTCATAAAAAATATTGCAACATGTTTTGTTCTGGTTCTTTAAAAGTGTAATTATCACACTATGTATCTATGTACAACTAAACAGACTATAAAATGAATAAAATTAAAAAAAAAAAAATTAATAGTTAAATATCTTAAAACTAGTTTGACAACAAAATAAAATACATCAGTGTATAATTATATTGCACATAAGAAATTGGCTGCCATAAATGGGAACAATTGTAAAAATGGAATAGTTGTCATATAAATAAATAAATAAAATTTAATGTGAAAAATGAATTATGGCACCATTATTTATATTTATTGAGCTTGCAAGGAACAAAAGACAAATGTATGTTTATGTGCCTTTGAATTTTTATTGATAACGAAATTGACCATATCAATAGTATTTTTTAAAAAATAATACTAATAATAATTGCAACACAGATAATTATGTAATACATCTAACAATACTTAAAGAATATTGTTGAATAAATAAAATATGTAATCGAAAAAATTGTCAATTAATAAATCACCATTATTCAATACTCCTAAAGCCAAAAAAATGAGTAATATTAAAGAAAATATTAAAAATTAAGCTAAGGTTACCAGAGAACCATTAGGACGGCAATTCAATGCATAATATTAACAACCGGATGTTCAAAAACAGGACGGATATTGAAACCACGGTTTTAAAGGGACTCAATAATTATGTAATTTCAAGACTTAGTTTAATAAAATAAAAAATGTTTAGAGGACGGTTTAACATATTTAAATCAACCCTACTCATTAAAAAGGGAGAAATATCACAAATGATGTTAGTTGTTAATGTTTTTTTTTTCATTTTCATACAAACAATAATACTAAATATATATCTTACCAGTCTCGACGTTGGGTCTGATTATACCTTTTAGAAGTTTTAGAAGGTGTAGACGAATTGGGCGTACCCATTGATCGTCGGACATTTTTCATTTCTCGATCCATTTCAATTTCTTCTAACCGTTGAGTGACCATCAATTTTTGTTGCACGGACAATCGTAAAAGTTGGTTAAGAGTCTTTTTTTCTTCTTCAGCAGCTGCTAATTGTCTTTGTAAATCGTCCATATGAGTCACTTGTTCTTCACAACGTGCAGCAAACATCGCTCTCAAACCTGCAAATGAGTAATTTATTAACATAAAATAAGTGTAATCAATTTTATAAGAAAGAAAATATATGTGCATTAAAAAGTTAAAGTACTTGAAAATGTTGCAGCATCTTCTTTGAGTGTACGTAGCTCATTACGTAACTTAGTCATAGTATCTGTAACAACCATTTTTTCGTTGTCATACTTAGACTTCAAATTGTTTAATGCTACCTCAGCAGTATTCTTGTTTGTCTTAAGAACCATACGCAATGATGATATTTGCTCTCTTTTTGTAGCTAAAAGTGACTGCAATTTCATTACTTGTTCACGGAGATCAGACAATTCATCATTATTGTCCAACATTAAACTTCTTTGACCTGCAGTTATCAATAAACGAATATATGATTATCAATTATCACCAAGAGCACTATGATAGTATAACGTACCGTCAAGATTTTCTCGATTTACAGTTTTAGCATTGTCTATAGACATGTTTACTGATTCTTTGAGCAATTTAATTTGATCAAGAACATTTCTAAGATTTTTTGCTACAAATGAAGCTTCAGTAAGGCTTTCTAATTCTTTTATAAAAACATCTGACTTAAGTCTTGTTCGTAATACATCAAGACGGGGATCATTTTCTTCAGTTTCTTTGGCTGTTTTTACAACTGTAAAAATAATATAAATATATATTTCACGATTCTATATGATATATTGATATATTCTTAACATAACAATTATATCACCATACCACTATTCAATGTAATAGACTTTCCATTTAACACTGACATTTGGCAGGCAAGTTGAGCCAATTCATCAGTAATAACAACAAGATCATTTTGTGCATTATCGAGAGAAGCACTAGCATCTGTAGCCAGTTCACCCAATAAGCGTACATTTGACTCGAGTTCCATTGTCTTTTGTTCTCTGTCTATTAACTAAAAATATACATAAATATATTATAAATTATATAAATATATACATTCATATTGTAAAAAATGTATTAAAAGAAAAAAATTTAAATAATGCTCTACAAATAAGTAAATACTTTATTTTTGAGCATGATTAATTCATCTTTCAATGATAAGGTTTCTTCTGATGAATTTAATTGTTTTTCAAGTTCTTCTAAGTCACCATGCAACTGATCAATTTCTGTAGAAGCTAAACTAAACCATTGTTGATAGTACTCTAAAGAGGCATTTGAATTTCTCTCTTCAACCTAATAATTATAATCCAATAAATATAAGTTAATTAAAAATTTATTCATTTAAATTTAGTTATCTAATAATAAATATAAAAAACAAAAAAACTACCTTATTGTCTGGAACTACTTTAAGACTAGTTTGAGCACCAAGATACTCTAAAGATCTGATATGTGATCCAAGTTTATATATACGAGCTGCTAAATTTTCTAAATCTGATTTACATTTATCAGATGCTGATTGAGATTCTTTAAGATTCTGTGTCAGTAAACTTTTCTCATTTTCTACTTGTTCCAACTGTTTCTCTAATTTTTTTAGTTCATTAAGATGAATTTCACTAAACAAATCATGTTTTCCACATTCTGGTAGTTCCATGTTCGAACCAATATCATTTTCAAGTTTACGTAATACAGGTAGATCATCTTCATCATCGCTACCAACATTTTGGTCTCCACCCATACCTTTATAATTTATAAAATTATATTATATTATTATTATTATTATTATCGTATGACTTTTATTAAATGCAAAAGATTATTTATAAAATAATAACTAAATATTGTAAGATTTTAAAAAAGTACTCAACAACCTATTATTAAATTATATATCATAAATTTACAAAGTTGAATTAAACATTTTATTTATAGTACAAGTAGCTAACCATTAAATGGTAATATATTTTATTTACATACCTCTAATACTGAAAGCTAAATTACTGAGATTGTAAACAGATTCATTGTTGATGCGTTGATCTAATTCTTTTTTCAGTGCATATTTAGCTTCACGTTCAGCCTAAAATCAAAACATTATGTTTTCTATATCCAAATAAAGTGTATTATTTCTTCTTCATATATTTTAACAATTAGATAGTAAACTTTACTTGTAATGATTGCAGAGCTTCTTCCATTTGTTTTTCAGCAATTTTTTTCAACTTTGCTAACTCATCAACTTGCAAATACAATAATTCAACATTTTCTTGCAGTCGACGTATTTCATGTTTCGCGCCTTCAAATTCAACCTATAAAAAATGTATATTTAAACCAAAAAACCCATTTATTATGAATTACTTTTGTTAAAATTAACCTGAGAAGATTTTAAGTGAGCAATTTGTTTTTGTAATGTTATATTTTCTTCCTCTAGTTCTGAATAATCGGAAAGTAAATGAGTCTCACGAGATTTCACTTCGCGTAGCTCAGAACGAAGCTGTTTACATTCATGATTAGATTCATTACCCAACCTTGATACTTCATTATTTTCTTGGATAGCTCTGTCTCGTTCAACTCGAACACGTTCTAACTCTTGTCTTAACTATACAAAATAATACATTTTTGTTTTTTTTATTATCAATGCTAAATGTTTGTTATTTCTGAAACTCACCAATTTAGTGTCATTTTCAAGTTCTATAATTGTGGTATTTAATGATGATTCTAAAGCTGCTGTTTCATACAAAAGTGATTCTTCTTGTTCTATGCCAGATTTAGTGGTTACTTTGTGAGAAGTTTGAAATTTTGTCAAAGCCTTAAATAAAAACAAAAAAAATTATAAAAAAATTTATAATACACTTTCATAATTTAAAAAACTTTTCATTTGGGCAGAGAAATTTAAGTTTTAATGAAATATAAATAATTCAAACATAATATGCTAAAAAATGTTAGGTTCTAACTTTATTTAATATATATTTATTACATTTAAACATGTAAAACCCATTTGTTTATTAACAGTAATAATAAATTAAAATATTGTTAATGAATTTTTATTATAAAAAAAAAAAAAAAAATACAAAATTAGTAAAACACAATAAAATTAGTTAAAACAAACAAATGTAAAGAGTTTTTTTTATCAATTTCAATGAATAAAACAATATATCTAATAAGACTTACTTCTTAATACAAATCCTTATTACTAATACTTCTTAAATTAAATGATTACTGTTTTTATAGTTAAAATGTTTGTACTAAGACTCAATACTAATAAAACATAAATAATAGGTTATCGCCTGTTTAAAATAAAAATATTAAATATTATCATGAATTTATTATTATTTAGGTTAAATATATCTATCTAAATTAAGATTTTAAGATAAGCTAAATAAAAATAAAAACTAAATTTAATTAAATATTAACATTTTAAAATTATTTTTTATAGTGTAATAAGCATTTAAACAATAAAGCATTATAGTAAGATTAATTTAATAAAATATAAAAAAATATAATATATTTTTAATTAAATAATTTTTAAATAAAAAGGACAACCGCTACTATTTTGGAACATATTTTAAAAAATAAAAAGAATTTGAAAAAACTTGAAAACATTGAAATAATTGAAATATCTATTTAAAAACCATAGTATAACTTTCAATTATAAATTAACCACTTTCAACTTTAAACATTGACAAAATGAAATATCAATAAAAATAACTTTCTTTTAAAGAAAATTTAGTTACTAAGGATACTAAGTAACTAAGAATCATTATGTAAAATAAAAAAAAAAAAAGATAAAGTAAATGTAATACATAATTATGTTATAATATTTAAAAGCAGAAATAATATAATAACTGGAAACTCAATTAGTCAGGAAAAATTATAATGTAAATATGTAATTAAACTTTGCTATACTTAATATACAATAATTGAAATGGAAAATTCTAATAGAAGTTATAAATGGTAGAAATATTTACCATGCTCAAAAAATTCTACTTATTTTATTGGTTTAATTTATAAAAATCATACGTTTAATGTAAAACAATGACCTTCAAATGAATACAAAAAATAATACTGCATAATCATTGGATTCATGAATATAAAATTATACATTTCTAAGCAATAAACAATATTACCTCTTGAGTGATATCTAATTCTTGTCTGACATTTTCATATAAATTCTCCAACTCTTCATACCGTTTAGTTAATGCCTGTTTTTCTTCCAGCAAACTTAGACCATAAGTGGCCGACTGCACTTTTTCTGTATGTGCCTGGTCAAGTTCACGGGTAAGCCGATTTATTTCATTCTGCAACTCGGCCACATCCATGTCTTTAGAAAAAAAATAAAAATAAAATCCAGTGATCAACGCAAATATTTTGTTCCCAATGTGAGGTAAATACTTACTCGAACCTTGGACTGTTGACACAGCCTACACTTATAATGTCAGAGTATACATCCTTATAATTAATACATTACTTTTTTAACTTCTAAAAAATAAAACATTGAGAACTACGGTTCAATAAATTAAAACGTGAATTAAGTTTAGTATTAAAAAATTAGACATTTTAAGTAGGCACTAGTTTAGTGACCGAAAAAAAATTACATTATTTCCAACATAACTGTTATCACTATTATCAGTTAGAAACACACAGTAAACGTGTTATAGGTCCAGCGAGTACCTGTACACCTATGCCCGAGAGGTTATAAACTCCGCGTACGTAGTACCCCAGAACAATAATACTCATATAATACTACTGGCATCGTTTAATAACCGTATGCAAATTCCTACAACCTACAATTTATAATGCACGGAAACGGATAATGGACAATAGCATTTATTCATTTATTTTGTGATTTCCCGTTATTCAAATGCAAATACATCTACCTCTTTGCTCTCGTTCCTTTCAAACCGTTTGTAATATTATATGGTGTATTATAATATATTTTGTTTCGCTAACTTTTTAAATTTATTTTAATTAAATTTCACACGGGAAATCGCTAATTATATGTATGTAATTTGCACTTTTCAGCATGTTCTAAAACAACAAAAAATATTTTTTTCCTACTTTTTATGTTTATAACAATAATAGTTTTCTTAATATTCATTGAGTTCATAAAGTTAAAATATAATATCTAAATAACACGGTCTCGCCCGAGAGATTTTTTTTAATATTTAAGCTTTATTTTTTATATGATGTCTACTATAATTATTTTTAAAACAACTGTTATGGTAATTATTGCAAATACTTAATAGATAAATTGTACATGATACCTACACATTTTCTAATCAACGTCTCTACAATATACTATTATTTAATAAGACCTTATACTAATAGATGGAACATGCTAGTAGTTCTCACGGTAAAGTAAAAGGTCTATGAATAAGACACAATTCTATACGATGCATAAGATTGTGAATAACAATCGTATTATATGTTCAATCATAAAATTATCATAGTTGTTAGGCGATTACTTTTTATACAAATTAATTAACAATTTTTATTCATGACCTTTTATCAGATCTTAAAAATTGGTTCAAATAAAAACTAACTGAAAGTTATATAAAGTATTAGGTATATTCAAATATAAATTACAATTCAATTTACAATGCAAATGACTAACATTTATACGTTGCTTTATTGAAGAATATTTTATTTAAGCTTAATAAAATTATACAGAGTTTCTAAATTGTCCGGGGAGGTTTCTACCATTACAGAGAGTCAATATTGTAAAACAACGGATAGACAACTTGGCTGATAAATGCTCGATCACAAATCGGTCGAACTACATGGATATGCGAATGATTGGTAAAATATGAACATTAATCGAACTCGCTTTGATCACTTCATTAAAGACTATGGCCCCGTAATATATATTTTTTTATTATTATTTTTTTTGAGTCACCGTCATAACCGGGAATCCAAAAAAGCGAATGCCAAAATAGCGACAGCAAAATAGCTAAGTATAAAATAGCTAAAAGCCATAATAGCGAATGTTCAAAACAGCTAAAGTATATTATTTTAAAATAATTTAATATAAAAAATAAAAATATATTAGGTATTTAAAAAGTGTATTATTTAAAAAAAAAAAAAAAAAGATAAAAGATATTAAATTATATTTATAATTTATACTTGTAGTGATAAATTATAGGCTATGCCTTTCAAATAATTTACAATATTTCTTTCTTTATATTGTTTTTGAATTTCTAAAATTCTTAATGCAGTATCTTGATATTTTTTATTTTTTTTTATTGGGTTTTATCCGCTTATGTATTGTTCTACTTTCATTTCTGTGTTAGTCTGTTCTTGTTTGAACCCTTTTATGAGTTTCCAAAAAGTTGGGTAACACGATCCAAATAAATGATTAAAACCACGATTCCAACCTATATAATATGTAAAAATATATTTAACATACTTAATATATTTTAAATATATTTATTTGAAAATATTAATTACCTTCGACAGAATTATTAGTCTTTGGCAAGTTTATCGAGTCAAAACAATTCCACATTTCCAAAGGAAATGTTGGACCTCTACGTCGTTTGCGTACAGTCTTTCCAAGCCAAGTATCTTCAAAGTAGTCCAATAGTGGTTGAAAAAGTTCTTCGTGTTCTAGGCAATAATCACTTTCACATAAGTGATCGAAACTTACTATTACGTCAAATACTGGTAGATACATAAGCAAGTGCTGGTAACAATCGCCTTTGAATAGAAAATTCTACATCAGTTAGATATTTTTCGTGGATTGTGGGTATCGATTGTATTTTTCGCCTTACACATTGACTTAAGTGAAAGTGGCAACCACGAGAAATTATATTGGGAAAATTTTCCTTAAATGCCAATATTGCACTTTGTTCAAAAGTCAGTCATAATAGTTTTAGGATTTAACGGTATATACAATTTTAGTGTTTTGATTAAATAAGAATATGTTGCAGTACTTTTATCAGGTAATAATGCAAAAACTACAGGTATTACAGTATTATATTTCAATACGTGAATTGTGTATATTTGTGTGAATATTGAAGAAGCGCTCTTAAATGTACCGTCGGCAAACCAATGTTCAGATGCAGACATTAACTTTAACCCTTTACTTATACAAAATATTAAAATTATATTTTTTGTAGGACTGTTAATTTCGTAGTTATCAAACAACAAAAACTTATTTTCATTGTTTGTTTGTCTATACATGTCTGGTATTTCTCCTAAATCTTTCAAAGTTAGTGGATTAGGCGGAGAGCGTTGATTACGTTGCTTAGTTCGCTGAATAATTCTTTTAAGATTTGATACACTTGTGAGATTGCCTTGAATTACATTTGATAACGCCGTTATTACAATATCACTAATAATTTTACTTGGCTTGTGTTGAGTAGTTAAAGCACTTTTTTTCATTACTTCAGTTAATTTTTTGACTTCGATTTTAGCTGGATTGGGGACATGTACATGTTTGAATGAAGAATCTTTAATAACCAAATAATTTCTAATGTTAATTCTACCACGACATTTTTCAACTTCCGCACATCTCCAATATGAAACTACGCCGTTTTCACAATCCTTCCGATACAAAAACCCATTGTATTTTACGAGTGGTTTATTTTTTTGTAAAATTAAATATTCGATATTTTTAAACAACATGAAGTTGAAGTAAGTGAAAATATATAATATACGAAGTATGCAACTGCAATACTGAGCGGTTAAACATACACTGTCGCTGTCGAATATTGTGCTTATATCTAATCGACCTATTTTATTAGGTATACTAGCTGAATTACCCGTCGTTGCCGGGTTTAAGTATATAAATGTATGCAGTGGCGCCGAAGTCCATGTTTATGTATGGCAGCTGCCATATATATAAACATTTAAGGGGGGGGGTGGGTCCAGAGGAAAATAAAATGATGACAATTAATAGAAATAGGATCACAAATTATTAAGTAGTATTGCCCACTTCGAGTATTTGGTATTACATATACATTATTTCGTTGATCAATTAACACCAAATAGTTCATAATAATACGATCATTACTGATTAGTAAGAACAGTAACAACTAATGGTGCATTTTGGATAGAACAAAAATAAAAATAAAAACCATCAACCAAAATAGACATTCGCCGACTGGCGACCACCCACTCCACTAACATACGTATATTACATTATTAGCGTCTATTATGTTATCAAAAATGCAACATTTAGTCCATTATAGTGTTTATAAATAGCTAAAAATTCCTATAAATTATGATACACTATCGTTGAAAATCAACTGTACCTTCAGTTTAGTGTAATAACTAATAAGCCAGCTATAATTCAAAAAGACTCTGACATATATTTATATTATTTAATTGGTTTTATTATTTAACTTTTAAGAATTTTTAATTTTTAACCACTACTATTTAAAGTTAAAAATTATAATTGTCTAAGAATATTAAGTACAAATCAACTTTATAAAGTAATTTATTTAATACCAAAAACTATGAGTTCTGTTTGTAAATGTGATTGCGGGAAATTAAGTTCATCAATGAACGATAAAAATTGGAATAGACATATTAACTCATGTAAAGTATGAACATTTAAAAGAAACTCGCATGATATAAAATCGTTTTTTTCTGGAAACAAGAATAAAAAAAGCAAATTGATTCACCAAATTACTGCTGTAAAAAATAGTAAGTACCTACATAATTTATTTAAATGTTTTATTTTGTTTTAAAATAAAAATACAGATATATTATAAATATGTATTATTTTAAATAATTAATACTGATCTTAATTATAATATTTAATATGATTAGTTTTTACTTATAAGTTCTGTACTACCAACTTATTGTACTATAACCTACCTATGTGGCTATGTTCTATTAGTTATTACCAGGGTTAGGATATGTATGCAACAGCATGATTTCTTATGCGACTTCTGAATATTGATTTTGTCAATAATGTCCACGAATCACCTCATGATGAGATAAATGGTGGTGTTTTTATTTTGCATGTTTTTGCATATTTTAGATAAAATGGATATTATTGCATATATTGAATAAAATTAATATTATTGCATATTTCAATTATATGAATGTAAAAAATGAATGTATTATAGTATATTTCGTATTTAATTCTAGCCCCGCTGATAAAAGTGTTATGTGCACCACAGCATATTATAGTATATTATTATTATACTTATTATTATTATTATTATTGTTAAGTATGTATATATTAATATGTGGGGACAAATGCTGACATTCGTGTAACAACCAAGCAATTGTAAAATCGTTCTTTCTATATTATAATTTTCAGCGACTCAATAAAATAAATACTTTTAATAAAATTGTTGAATTGAGAATTTCCTCGTGGTGTTTTTTTTCTAAAGTGCGAACTTAAAAAA